CACACCTTTAAGGCTTTCTTCTGCAGTTGTGGCTTGGGTGAGTAGAAAAGGCTCAAAACTAGACTTCTGGTCTACTCCAGGAGCCATGAGGGAAGCCTGGTAGACCAGAATCTCCTGAAGGCTTTCACAAGCTGGTCTAAGAGACCCTCCTATCTAGCAAGGAGGATGGGGGAAGTTGTGATGGACTTTGGTATGGCCTGGGCTCAAGGACTGGTACGGCCTCAATGCTGGATGCAGAAGCTGGAACTGCTCATAGAAAAAAAAAAAAAACCAAACTCGCAGATTTGCCAGTACTTGAGCAGAGCTGGCAGTAGCGTCAACTTCCAAGCCTCCCTTTTCCAGCTACAAAGCTTAACGCTATGATGCACCTGATGTGTTGGCATCCTGATGCAGGCTGTTCCCAGCCTGGCTTCCATTATGGCTCTGAACAATGATTTTCAACCTTTTCCCAACTGTAACCCCATGTTGCTAAGATTTTCAGAACATCCCTCCACCCAGCCACGAAGAAAAGAGGGTTGTAAGCATCTGGGCCTGCTGGCAGTCCCTAAATTGAGAACCCAGTTTTTGAGTAGTCTCAGGGTTAGTTTAAACCAGGACACAACCTGTAGCACATGTTCCACAAGTGGCATGGGCATCTGCTGCATGGCACTAGCCCTGGGTGCTCAGTAAAGGGAGGCACCAAAATGGAACGAAGGAGGGCCTGGAGCCTCTGGCCACACAGAACAAAGTGGGGTAGCAGGAGGTACAAGGTGTCATCACCAAAAGTCAAGTTAACCCTTTACTGGCCCTGCAGTCACTACCAAGTTCAGGTCTTTGGACCCTCACTCATATAAAACTGCAGTTTTCTTTCTTGCAGCAGCATCCTGCCTGGACTCTGCTCCACATAGTGGGAGGCCCAAGCTTCCCTGCCTCTGTTCTAGTGCCCCAGGGCACAGTCAGGTACACTTCTGGGAAGCAGAGATCACAGTGGCACTGGGGGACAGCATGGGGGTGCAGGGCAGGACTTAAATTCGCAGGATACTTGTGGAAACAGCTGGCCACCGCTGCTTTAAACCATGCCGAGAGGCTGTTTCAGCATCCAGAAAAATCACTAAGGAAACTACCTGCCACACACCCTTTCCACTACAAATGACCCCTATGATGGCTCTATGCCACCTGTGGATTTCCTTGTGTCTGAAGACTCTTGTTCCAGCCAGACCCAGATCTACTTTGTGCCACAGACCAGCATAACATCAGATTTGCCAACAGGCAGGGGGGCTGGGGGTTGGCTCAATATCGGCAAACCCACCTGTTACCAATAAAACACTCACCCTGAATACTGAAATGAAAAAATAGTTCACTTACCCCGCAGCATATTCTGCTGATGTTTTGCTGTGCAAATCAACCTACTAATTCCTTCAATGCATTGACTCTTGGATTCAAGCTCCTTGTCTTTTGTTTTCTTGGGCAAAAACATCACTGGAAGAAAAATTCAAAAAAAAATTAATAAATTAAACTTAGTTTCTGCCAGCTAGAAAGTTACACTGGAACAAATGGTTTTTTACAAATCTATTACTAAAGCCTAAAATTTCTCCAAACTGGTCCTCATCAGTTTGGGCTTTCTAAAAAAAACCTAAATTCTTACTGCCTCAATGCAGTTCATACAACCTCAGTCTTCACCACCATTGCTATGTTAGCTTGTTTTAACCTCAGGCAAAACTGCCCTGCCAGGATACAGACACACATATTCCATTATGAGAGGTACAGCCGCTCTCTGGCTCAAATACAGCACACTCTGTTTAAGTGCATGGCCTTAGGACTAAAGAAAAAGCCCTTATCATGAATTAATATGTAACAATGCTTATTAACTACAGGTACAGCCTCTTACCTTGTTTCTCAGAGCACCTTAGGCCTCTAGTAGCAGTCTTGAAATTGACAGGACCCAGTGAGATCAAGGTGGCTTTAGAAAGCCTTCATATAGATGACTCATAGCCTGTTTCATCAGTTATACAGTTAAAACAACCTACAGTTCTGTTGCAGAAGTAAAGAGAGTAGAGCTAAAAGGGAACTGGCTCTGTGGTCGATCCAAAGAGTACTGGTTGATGGGATCAAATCAACATGGCAGAGGTGACCAGCGGTGTCCCTCAGGGCTCAGTACTCAGACCAGTACTCTTCAACATTTTCATTAATGATCTGGATTTGGGCATCAGATGCAGACTGGCAAAGTTTGCAGACAACACTAAACTATGGGGGAAGGCAGTCACACTGGAGAACAGGTTGGGGATGATACAGGCTGACCTGGACAGGCTTGCAAGGTAGGCAGACCAAAACCTGATGGTATTTAATGCAGAGAAGTGCAGGGTACTCCACCTAGGGAGGAAAAGCCAGCATCATACTTACAGGCTTGGCAGTGCTACACTCGCTAGTACCGTGACTGAAAGAGACTTGGGGGTCTTGACTGACCCGACCACAAGATGAACGTAAGCCATCAAGGCAATGCTGTGGCCAGCAAAGCAAATCAGACTCTGGCATGGATCCACTAATGCATCTCAAGCAAAACCAGGGATGTTATCCTCCTGCTCTACTCAGCCTTAGTGAGGCTGCAGCTGGAGTACAGCATCCAGTTTTGGGGCCCCCCCACTTCAGGAGGGACAAGGATAAGCTTGAGAGTCCAGAGGAGAGCCACCTGCATGATCAAAAGGCCAGAGTAAGCCTTGAGGAGAGGCTGAGGGACGTGGGACTCTTGAGCCTTCTCTTCTTCAGGCTGAGGGGGAACTTGGTGGCAGCCTGTAAAGTACATAAGGCAGGGGGTGCACTGGGATCTGGGAGAACACTAACTTACCAGGGCTCCCCAAGGGATAACAAGGTCTAATGGCCACAAACTTCTGGAAGGCCAATTTAGACTGGACATAAGAAAAAACTTCTTTATGGTCTGAGTGTCCAGGGTCTGGAACAGACTCCCCCCAGAGGTGGTGCAAGCACCTACTCTGGACTCATTCAAATGGCATTTGGATGCTTATCTTGCAGGTGTCACTTGACCCCAGCAGACTCCCTGCCTATGGCAGGGGGGCTGGACTCCGTCTTGGGAGGTCCCTTCCAGCCCCTAATGTCTATGAATCTATGAGTGATTCTCAAGTAGGTTGCCATGGCATCCAGGGGTGCCTTAAGACCCCTTCATAGATGCCACACAATGTTGGGTGCGACTCGCAAGCTAAACCCAGAGATTTCAAATAGGATTCTATAGTGTTAAAAGCATTCTGCCTTGTGGTAGAAAGATCTGAGTTCTTTGCCAACAAAAGCATTACTTGTTTCTATAGTCAAAAAGGATGAAAACTAGGAGTTGGCATTTTCCGAGGGATGCCTTAAGTTTAACAAAGGCAAAGACCACCTGACTAAAGTCATTCTATGCACGGAAGCCAGTGTTTGTTATAATGCAAGCAACAGGGGAAAACAAGACCAGCTTATAGTTAAATGAATTATGTGTTTATCTGATCTTCATCCAAGTGGAATTCACGGCATTCTAAAACTTATCATACCACCTAGGGGAGATTCTTGCTTACTGCAAGTCATTTTCTAGAGCACCCTTCCCCCGAGATTGTAGCCTCACTTTCATTCACATGGTAAATCTAAGGATGTACACATAGCCACAAAAACACCAGTCCAACAGTTCAAAGAACAGCAGTTCCATGTGCAGAGCTCAGAGGGACAGGTGAATGCTCCTGAAAACATGAAAGGGGCAGGGAGGGGAAACAAAAGAGCTCTTAAAAAAAGAAGTCCAGAGCTTTCAGGATCAATTTGAATTTGAGCTAAACTGCACAAGGCAGTTCTAGGAAACCTGAACATGCTAAGTCCAGTCTGGGAAAATTTCATACTTGAACTGTCTATTAGATACAGCCTGGCTTCCCATTTCCCAGAATAAAACATACCACATCACCCAGTACCACAAACTAGAAGAGACAGACAGTGTTCACTGCTGATGTGGAGTTGGCACCTCCAACAGGCTCATCAGCAGCAGCCTTACAATCTTATCTCGCACAATTCTCAGCTTGGGGGTATTGCTGGGTCATACATCCTCATGTACCCGAGTACTGTCAGTAAGTGCCGGATGCTGCTTTCTGGCTGCCATTTGCAAACAGAAACTATGGATGCAATAATTAACCAGGTATGACAACTGAGGTTACAAGGGGACAGGACAACACTGAGTCAAATGCATCGGCTGAAAAACCGTCTCTGTGAATCTCTACCGCTGCAAACTGAAATAATAATAAAACTGGGCAGCTCAATCCCATGCTTCCTGCCTCAAGTCCCTTCTAGTCCTACTTCTCTATGATATATCCCTTAAGGCTTTAAGCCTCAAGCCAAATTCCAAAACAGGTCCAAACTCCAAAGCTGTCTGCATACATTTTTAGTGACTGCTTTTGAAAGCCTTGGGCACCAAGCTAAAGAACTGGTCCAGCCTCACAAAAAAGTTTATGCTGCCCATGTGCAAACTGCTCTCTGTAAGGTTAAGGTTGTGGAAGAGTCTGCTCATGGAATTCTGTAGGAAACAGCATGTCACCAGAAAGGACTAGATGTTTCTATGGAATCTATAACAATCATTTAAAAAGAAAGGACGATAAAAGCCCACCTGAAAGCCACAACCCCCTATACGCCATTAATCCTATGGCTAACATATTGCTGCGTGCAATTATCTTGTGGCTATGCTCCACATACCCATGCTACAGTGACCACCTTTCACTGGTAGGCACAGCAGATTAGGAATCCAAACCAATGCAACAGCTGTAAAATTGCTCAGTTACCAAACATGATGCCCTCTTATGGCATCACAGGGAATCAGTTCCCATCAGCCAAACAGTCATTTGCCTCTAAAAGCCAACATAACTAACAAGGCATTTTGGTGGTGGGGAAAGCAGCAAAACTTAAAACATCCTGGGAAAATTTATAGTCCGTGCACACAGTATCTTGCATGCATCAAAAACTCCTCCTACAGCGACAGTAACCTGATGTGTTATCTTCCATCTTACCCTTTTTGTTTTTTTCCTTCGTCACGACTGTCATGGACATTGTCGGAACAGTGGTGATTTCGCCACTTGTGGGTAACCTGCTGACCTGGAGAGACCGGAAAGTGCATTTCAGTGTGTTTTTGGTAGTGGAAGGGTCCTTCTTCTCTGGATCTCTCTTTTTGTCTGTGGGCTGAACTGCAATCCAGTAATCCACCTGCAGTCCCATCAGCTCAGCACCAAGGCTCTGGCTAGAAGACGGAAGAAGAGAATCATTTCTATATGCTAGCAGATAGGACATCGAATTTTCTAGTCACTAGTGATTTTGGTTACCCATGTGAAAGCCCTTCGAGAGGCCAAACGCTCAGCATTTTTGGACAAAATCAGTAGGGCTGTGCGAAGCTTCGGTCCCCAATTCGGCAGAGATACAGCCCAATTCAGTGGCCGAATCTCCGAATCCAAATCGAATCAAGAGACCCTTTAATCTCTCCAAATCAGATTGGAAAGATTCAGCAATTCGGACATAGACACAGCTTTAAATGTTTTTCCTACATACCTCAAGGTAGCAGGTGGCTCATAAATGCCGAGATGCTGGGGCAGATGGAGTGTCCCACAGGAGCGTGGGAGGGTCCCCAGCGCACTCAGCAGCAGACCCGGAAGTGGAACCAGAAGCATTTCTGGTCCACTTCCTGGTCTGCCGGGAAATGCATGGGGGGGCCCCCCCCTGCGTCCCCCTGGCTCAGCAACTGGTGCCTCCTGGATTTGGGGGGGCACCCAGGGTCCCCCCCACAGCTGATCACCAAGCTGGGGGAGTGCAGGGCCCCCCCCCCCATGCGCTCGGCAGCAGACCCAGAAACGGACCGGACATACTTCTGGTCCACTTCTGGGTTCGCTGCTGAGCATGCGGGGGCCCTCCCACGCTCCTGTGGGACACTCCATCCGCCCCAGCACTGCAGCGTCCATGAGCCATGACTGGTACTTTGAGGCATGTAGAAAAAACGTTTAAAGCCATCTACGGCCAAATCGTCGATTTTCCAAATGGGCATCAAATCTTCAGATTCAGATTTGGCTGAATCAAATCAGAGACAGTGATCCAAATCAACTAATCAAATCACTGTCTCTGATTCAGGCCGAATCGAATACGGTCCATTTCACACAACCCTAAAAACCAGGCTCCTGAGTTTTCAAAATAGGAAAACAAGTACTGGAAGCACATGGAAAGAGTTACACTCCAAAGCATAAGGTGACACTTCTCTTCCTAGGAAGGAAGTGACTAAGATGAAGGCTAGTTACGCATGTACATAGCTTTTATCATCTAGAGATTGTTAACAAAACTGGTTACAGGACTGGATACTGTGTAGATCCAACAACTTCTAAGTAATTCCTCTCACTCTGATGGTAGTTCTAAGAAATACAGCATCCGACTGTTCTTCAGAATAGGGGACATTGTAGAATACAGCCAATGTGCTGACCTGGGTTTCCAGGGCCCAGTTGTAGTCTGCCTGCATAGTTCACAGAACCAAAGCAACAGAAAATGAATTACCCATCCTAACTAAACACATTCCCAATAAGATCCTGAGCTTGACAATAAGCCTTGAGGGGCAAACAAATATTTCCCCTTGTAGCTGCCAACACCAATTCTTAGCTACCATTAAGGCATAGGACAAGACTCATTTCAGTTGGCTGGTTGACAAACTGCCACCGAATCAAGGGGCCAACCTAATCAACCAGAGACAGCCATGTTGCAGGAATTCATGTGTTGAGGCACCAACCATGTGGTTTTCCCATGGCTTGATTCCCAGGATGGACGACACAAAGGCTTCCTGCTGGGTTCAGTCAGTCAATGAAGAACCTAAAAGAAGCAATCTGGCAACAAGTTCATCCCCATTCAAGCACACTGCAGCTAGTGGCTCCTACAAGCAGTCAGCACAAGCTGTTTTTCACAGTTTGCTCAGCAGAGCAGTGGAAAGAGCTCTCTGAGGGACAGAAGGGCTAGTCAGGCTGCCTGCAGCTACATGACATTACTGCCAAATCTGTTCCCATGATTCCTGTTGTCACTGTGCAGACTCCTCTCCATCCTCAGCTGTGAAGTAAAAAATCAAGGTGGATCCTACAGAAGACAATATTTTCAAATTTGGTGGGGCTGGATATCAGGGCATGAGAGCTTTTCTACTTTCCTTGAGGCAGGGAAACGCATACTACTGAAGAGCCCAAGAGAAACACTTGGGTTCAGGTAACCAGGACTAGGCAGATCACCAATATCCCCATCAAATCAACAGAACAAAGTCAGGGACGTATCCTCTGACTCTCCTAACCCAGTGAGGGCTGATGCAAAGGAGAGTACAAGGCATGCCCCGTGCTCACACACTCCCTCTAAAAACATCTACACTACATGCCACCATTGGAGACAGGATACTGGGTAAATGGACTATTGCTCTAACCCAGTAAGGCACTTTGTACATTCTGATCATCTATATGTAGGAGATTATCTCGGGCTGCTGTAAACTAGCTGGTGGCTTCCAACTGAAGGGTCCTCCAACATGGCATGCTAGCTGTGGTCCTGTCCTACCTTCGAGGAGCTTCACATGCCAGCACTTTCAACCTCATTCTGCAAGGGACTGATGGGCACATGGGTTGTCTTGCCAGGATCTGAATTCCTAGACCAGGGGTGGGCAAACCCTGGCCCCCAGGCCAGATTGAGAGCTGCTCCAGGGCTGGGATCTTGCGGCAGTGACAGCATGGTCCTGAGCTGGGACAGAGCTGCGATCCGCTGCCCACACACCCCAGGCAGGCAGTGGATCGTAGCTCTGCCCCAGCTCCAGAACACACTGTCACCATTACAAGACCCCGCCCAGCTGCACGCCCTGCCAGAGAGCTGCAGGACCCGGTCTCCATGGAAACCCTGATCTCAGTTACAGCCATGCTGCTCCTAGGGTCTCCATGGAAACCAGCCACAGCAATGCAAACACAGTCTGCTGGGAAATGGAGGCTGGCTGCTGGCCAGATCTGCTATTTGGCCCATCCCTGTCCTAGACCTAGAATCAGCATTTAGGAAGAGGTACAGTTGCATTTGGACCATCATGTCCTAGGGTCTACTATTAAAAAGTTGAATTAGGGTGGCCTTGCCCCTTGGGCACTCACTCAGCTGTGTCCACACAGAACAGGGAGAATGGACTAGGCACTGCTGAGAAGAATCTGGGGGTCTTTGGTAGATTGCAAATTCAAATAGCAAGCAGAAAGACAACACTGTGAAAAATAAAATAAAATGCAACTTTGGGCTGCATTATGAGAAGTAGCATCATGTAAAGCACGGCAGATGATAATACCACTCTAGTCTGTGCTGGTTAGGCTTTTTGCTGGAGTTCTTTTGCCTAGTTCTGGGTGCTGCATTTTAAGAGAAATGTAGAGAAACTGGAGAGGATCCAAAGGCAAGTGACAAAGATGACAAAGAGGTTGGAATTCAAGCTCTATGGGGAAAGATTTAGTTTAGAGAAAAGGAGATTATGGGAGGACATGAAAACAGTTCTTAAATATCTGAAAGGCTGCCACAGACAGCGAGAGAGAGAGCGCGAGCGAGAGAGCGCGCAACTATTCTCCTTTGCTACAGAGGGCAGGACATGAGGCAATGGGTTTAAGTTGCATTAAAGGCGATTTAGATTAAACTGGGGGGGAAGGGGGAAGCTTCTGAAATGTTAAGCCTAGTAGGACAAAGAACAAGCTGCCCAAGACAGTTAAGGAATCTCCTCCATTGGAGGTTTCAAAACAGCTGAATTAACATCTATCCAAGATGGATATAATTCTATGTTCCATTCTCTAGCACCCTCAAGCCTACTATGCTTCATAACCCTTCCATGCAGTGATAAAAACCTAGAAAGGTTTCAAAATTGGAAGAGTGAGGAATAGGACTGAGGCTATGTAAAATTCTGTTAAGTCACAATGCAATTTATAAGAGTATAGTTTGCAGTCAGCATAAAATGCAGAGAACCTTAGCTATTCATTTTCTTGCTTAGGTGCTAGAGTCTTGAACTGTTAATGTGATAGAGGATATAAAATATGTATTTTGTCACAACCATCTGAGCTCTGACTGACTTCCATCTTTTTTTTTTTTTGTTTACTGGTTAAATGAACCAAGTGAACGCAAGTCCCTTATAGCTTCCCACAAATTCCTCACATTAGACAGATAACCAGACTTGGGATGAAAGCTCACAATTTTCCGTAAGGCCAAAAAAAAAATCAATACCGTTTCTATGAAGTTACATATGTAACATTAAAAAAAGTGAATAAGCAAAGTTCTACCTTTAATATTTGACAAACTGATTAGCAATTCTCAACCAGTGTGCCAGGGCACCCTGGGGTGCCTCGAGATCTTTTAAATACTGTCACAATGTATGAGGAGATAAGTGCAGGCTCAGGCTCACTCCTGGCCCCTCTGCAAGGAGGTAACCACTGCAATAAGTAGTTTTTTATATAGGGTGGTGCCCCATTTGCAGATTATGGAGGGGTGCCTTGAGTCAAACGAGGGCTACCTCAAGTCTAAACGAGGTTGAGAACCACTGTATTAGTTAACAGAAATCAAGGTGATAGTAGATAAAAGTTCAGTTTGTTGTAATACTACGTATCTTTTCACACTCTTCTCACACAGCACATATATGCCAAGCTTAGCAATTGATGATGCTCTTAGCTAGTCTTTTCCTTGCTTTTAAATTTTAGTTGCAGAAAGCTCCAGTCATCAAGATGGGCACATGTTTGCAGGACCTTGTGTTACAGTTCTGCTGTTTAAATATATACAGTTTGATATTGCAGATCATAAATCCTACAGACTGTGCATTGCAGCTGGGTCAATAGTAATGCAAGAATTTTCACTTCTGTATTTCTTGACTAACTATGCAGCATTAGTGCTGGTTTAACACTCCTGTTGATACCATACAAGGATATATGAAATAGGAGCACAAGCTTTACTAGAAGTTGGAGGGACTTGGGTTCCTAAGTCACCCAGGTACTTTGAGCATGTGGTAACTTTTAATGCACTACTTAAAAATAAAGCCTTTGTGGCAGCAGGACTCAACCTATGATTATCACCACCAGGAGGCGGCAGCTTAGGATCTTGAATGGGGCTGGGGCTGCCCATGCTTGTCCTGATGCGGACAGTCAGGTGATTGTCAGCATGGGACTGGAACATACCACACGTTCAATTTAAGTTACCATGCAAGCCAGTGAAAAAGGTGTTCTTCATTAGGTGGCAAACTATACCTAAAAGATATTACATTTTATGACAGCAAAAATGTGTAGTATATTGTCATTTATGGCACGATTGGCAACATTAACCACACTGTAAATGTAATGTCTGCCAGGGCCCGTGGCCAGTGATGGAAAGGAAAACAGTTTTCATTCCAAATATTACCAACATGCATTGCAGAAGTAACTCATCCTGCTCTCTCTTTTAAGAGGACAGATTCTACCTAGGGCCCCCTCCTGTGCTTTGCTAGTTAGCACAGTGATCCACTTGCATTCTAGACTGTGACTGAGTAAACAACCAAAGCATTTTTGCTGGTCTTCTCCAAACTTTATTTTGTCCCTCACCTTTGTATGACCACAAGTATCCAGAAGCAACTCTCTCTCACTTGCAGTGGCACCACAGCTATACAGAGCTATTCTGAACTGGAAAATGAAAGACCAAGGCTTGTGACCTGAGCCTAGTATTACACTGGCTTTTAGCTGCCCTACCACAAGCTCCTTTAATTTGGCTTTCATTAATATGTCTGAGGCCTTCCTGTTCATTGCTTCCCATTTCTCTTCTCCCAGAGAGTATGTATGTTATTTAGATGATACTGTATTCCATTCTTCAAATCAGTTGCATCATCCCTGCGGTCCCAATCTCTGTAGGCCTTCTCTTGTTTAACCAGTCTTCCCAACTCCTCCCAGATTCACTATCTGGGAACCTCTTCCACCTGCTCTCTCTTTCTAGAGACATTATTTCTTGACATTATTGTAATACCACAAAGCCCCAATCAAGAAAGAGGCCTTATTGTGTTAATTAAATGCAGGAGATACATCACTGAAGAGAGGCAAGCATTTTTGTAGGCGATATCTTTTATTGGATCAGCTGCATGGTTGGAATAGACTAAGACAAGCTTTCGGGTACTACAGTACCCTTCCTCAGGTCTCCCTTACATCCCTGAAATAAGCCAAACCAGACAGTAATACTCACCCAAGTGGTGCCTCCCAGATCAGCATATTGTAATTTATTACTACCCCCGGTGATAGTGGATGAAGGGCTAACACCTGAGTGAATTCATATAACCTGGGACAGGAATATGAACGATAGCAACAAATGCTTTCCCTAAGGTTCTGGGTCACTATACACTATGCAGCAAGTGTTAGGCTTGGAGTCAACTGGAGATCTCCCAGGCAAGCCACCCCCACTACCTGAGCCTTAGGTAACATTACAAGTTTCCTTGGACATACAGAAAGACGGACTTACATATTGCAAGCAGGCCTGCTGCCTTATCCCACAAACACATACATTCACCGCAAACATCCTAACCCTCCTTGCAGACACTGAACTCCATTAACAAGTGACCCAACTTGATGCTCAAAAAGCTCTGTGGCTGAAGGGTCCTCTCACAAGCTACTGAGCCCACCCAGTATAAAAAGGCTCATGTCCTCTGAAATGAGGCAGGCTTAGCTACACTGTGTTCAGGCTAAGAGGGATGACTAAGAACTTGGGGCTGCAGCATTCCTTGCAGAGATTTCATTTTTACTGTATTTCAGATAATACAGTAGGAGGAAAAAAAAGGCAGAAGGTGCTTTACCTGGAGGAAGTGAAGCTGCCAGTAACAGACGGCGAAGAAGGTGGGGTGGGGGAAGCTTCCTTCACAGCAGGAGACACAGAAGGTGGGGTAGAGGAAAGGACACTGGAACTAGAGGGAGCTGCGTCATCGGAATCACCTTAAAGAGAAGGATTCAAAGTGTTGGACTGTGTTCTTCACCTGCACCCTCCCTGCTGGCAACCTCTGGGCAAAGCAGAGGGTGGCTGGAGATCTGAGCTTGACATGTGCCTGAGTCATCCCATCTCCCAGACTTTGCCACTGTATGCCCTGGGGTTAGTCATCTAACCTGCTCTGAATGTCCATAAAAAGAAGCCACTGTACCTCTCTCACATGGGTGCTTTGAGAGTCATTTAGGGCCTAACTGTTCTCCCCAGAACATCACAGGAAACACTTTGTATAAAAAGTGCATTGCTTCCACCAAGCCATCTCTGCAGCATAAGCTGCTTGTCTTCCACAGCTTTCCTGGAGCTGTCTGCAGGGGCTGCAGTCCCTGTATAGCAGACCAGGGCAGAGCCAGGGATAGGATAGAAAGACTGGAGAACTATGCAGCACTGCCCCCAAACCCCACAAGGAATCCATAGACACCAAGGTAACATATACATTAGCTTTTCTATGGAGCCCTTTCTCTGCTAGCCCATTAAGAGGGCTTCTTTTTGTGCCAGTGGTAGGACTCAGTGCAAACATGCAAGCTGGTTGCAGGGAAGGCAACCACAAGGTTTAGAAACCAAGACCCCTTCCCTCATCCCCTCCTGATAAAATTTGGAGGGAATTTCACCAAAAGGAATCCTCCATGCTTAACATCTGTAAAGCCTTGAGACACTCTAACAAAATGCTCCAAGAATAGCAAGAGCCATATAGTTTTAATGATATGTTTTATCCCTGAATGACAAGCGGACTGCATCCCCAAAACACTAAGGAGTTAGGCACAGTTGCAGAGCAGGAGAGAAATTAAGATATGGAGCCTCAGAAGAGCAGGCAATGTTGAGGCAGACAAAAATGGGAATGTTGTTCCAGATGAAGAGACAGGATCCATCATATCAAAGTGGTAAGAATCTAGGGAAAAGCAGAAGTGAGCCTCAAAAATCACTTACAGTAGAAACAGACCTACAGTGCCCATGTAGTCTTGCCTTTGCTATAGACTACTCCCTGTCTTAATTCACCATCTGAAGGTGGCTATAATACTCGCCCATCTCTTGTGGGTATTGGGAGCCTGATCTAAGTATTTGTACAGGGGTTAGTGGGGATCATGGATCTTGATCTAAACCCCAATCATTATCATCACTATGCACAATTAAGCTGGCTGAGTTTGTAAGGCCTTGTGCTCTCAGCCTGTGCTCTCACTACTGCTTGGATATGTCATGATTTCTGAAGACTGTCTGATGGATTCTATAATTTTACAGGCCATTCAGAGCAACACTGAGGAGATGCTTATTGATGTGGGTGACAAAAGAAGTTAGGGCCACAAAGAGCCCTTCAATGGCAACACTACCTGCTTCAACCACTTCTGCAACAGTAGGGTGATGGCAGCAGTCCACTCCTGCCACACAACTTTGCTATATCGCAACTCTGCCCATCCTCCCACCCCAGTTTAAAAATAAGAACAAAAGGAGAGTAGTGGGGATTCAGCACTCAGTCCCTGGCATAGGAATGGAGTGATGCGTTTCAAGGAGTCTCAGGCAGAGAACACGTCAAAATAGATGAATATGAGGCTTGGGGGTCTGGGGCTGGGATGGAGGGATGAATCAGCTCAGCCCAAAGAAGCAACAAAGCATGCAATCCCCTTGCTAAACTTGTTGGACAGTTTTTAATATTTAACATGCTCCAAACTTTCCCCAAGATCTACACTGAGCTAAAAATTGTCAGGCTTAGAACTGGTTTCCCCACAAAAGTTGCACTAGTTTAGCCTGATTTGGTATGAAAAACTGATTTGGTTAAGTCAGTGCAAATGCCATGGCTGATGCAGACTGGTTTAAAATTGGTTATAGCTGTTTAAATATACACCGGTAAATTTACCAAGTAACCGAGGAGTGGCACCGGATTAAAAAAAAAAAATCACACCTTCAGTTAAACCAAATACCAGGAACCAGACCTGAGCCTCTTGCCAATAGACTGAAATATGAAAGTTGGCCTGACATCATTGCCTTGTACAGTTTAGAATACGAATGAATAATCATTCCACGTGCTCCATGGTTATATTCAGGCAGTACCTGTGCTATTGGTCTGCCTCAGTAGAGGCAGGACAATGACAACTGAAGTCAGAGGAAATGCCCAAAACATGCAAGGCCTATAGTATTTGGTAGAGCCCACTGGAATCCCTAGACAATCTGTTCAGTCAACCTGACAGACTGAAGGAAAACAGAGGCTCACAATGCAAATAAAAGGATCTTTCACTGAAAAAAAAAAAAAAAAATCCAGGAAAATCTAGGCGAACTGCATTACTGTTGGGCCCCAAGAGAACTGCAGGTGCAAACAATGGGCTACTACAGGCTCCCAACTTAAGGGTATTTTAGAATTACAAAACAAAACAAAAAAGAAAAAACAAAGAACGAAAACCAAAAAAAACCCCAACCAGGTATCCATCTCTAACTGACCAATGGCACCAGAGGTGGATACTCCTTCTCTACTCCCAACTGTTTTGGGCAAGGGACTCTCACAACTGTGCAGTGGACTGATCTCTATACAAATACACACAAAATCAACTCACTGAGTTCTAATACATATTCCGTTACCTTCAGTGCAGGTCTGTGTGTGGATGCTTGCTTAGGAATACAAATGTTCCTGTTCAGATGAACAGCGGCCATTAAAAACAAGTTAGCTGTGCTGGTGTGTGGGTGTGACCTGGTCCCTGGGTGACTGAGGTCACCAACATAGGGGCATCTGCTCTTTGTTGCAGATAACTTCCCCTACACATTACACAGGAGGAATTTCTATTTTTGAGTCCTGTGCAAGCAAAAAACACCCTGGCACATCCAGTCCCACCCATTACTCCCCAGAGATTCATTATAAAATTCTTATCTGAAAAACCCTCTGGGCACATGCCTTACTGCCTGCCTTACTGTGGATGTGCTGCCCAAGTTATTTCAGTGCAGCTTCTTCAGACACTAATGTTTAGAGTCTGCTAGCTCAGGGCTAGAAACTAGGGCTGCGCGAAGATTCAGTCGCCGATTTGATATGACAGAGATTCAGCCTGATTTGGTGGCTGAATCTCCAAATCCAAATTGAAATCAGGAGACCCTTTAATCTCTCCAAATCAAAATCGGAACCCTCCAAATCAATTTGGAGACATTCAAAAAGATTCGGCGATTAGGATACGGACACAGCTTTAAATGTTTTTTCTACATACCTCAAGGTACCAGGTGGCTGGTGAGTGCTGCAATACTGGGGCGCATGGAACGTCCCACAGAAGCACAGGGCACTCCCCAGCACGCTTGGCAGCAGACCCAGAAGTGGACCAGAAGCACTTCTGATCCACTTCCAGGTCCACCAGGGAGCCTTCCCAGCTCGGTGACTGGTGCCTCTTGGTGCCCTTGCAGCCAATTGGGTTCACCGCTAAGCATGCGGGGGGCGGGCGCGGCAGGGTGCGTGCGGGCGGGCACCGCCACACTCTTGTGGGATGCTCCATCCACCCCAGCATCGCAGCATTCCTGAGTACCTTGGAATATGTAGAAAAAACATTTAAAAGCTGTGTCTATGGCCGAATTGCTGATTCTCTGAATCAACATCAAATCTTTAGATTCAGATTCTACTGAATCGAATCAAGGACAGTGATCCAAATCAATGAACTGAATCACTATCCTCAATTCGGGCCGAACCTGAATCCAAATCGAATGTGTCCCGTTTCACACACTCTTACTAGAAACAGGACCTCATCCATTCCCTGTCCCCATCACCAATACAGCCCAGCCCACCCAGCTAGGTCTGAAAAGCAGACTAACATGGTAGTATTTGAAAGCACAGAACTGCTGTCTTCACTTTTTTGGAGGAAGATGATCCCAAGTCATTTTTCTCTTCCTCTCAACCCTGCACAGCTTTCCTAGCATCGTTCCCAAAGGGCTGCGTACGTGCATTCAAACAACTTGGGAGAATTCTCCCAGGATTGCTCTCTGGGTAGAGAAAAAACTTACCCAGAGCTGCGTATACAACAGGGATGGGCAAACTCTGGCCCGCAGGCTGGATCCGGTTGGCTGTGAACCCCGGTTCCCAGCTGCCCCTTCCCTCATGGTTTGGGCCATTCTCCATGGAGACCCCAGCCGCACCTGTGCAGAAAGCTCAGGCTGGGTTTGCCATGGAGACCAGCCTCAGCCACACACAGCAGTGCAGGGGGCTGCTCTGGAGCCACTGGAAACTTGGGATGGGGGCAGCTTGCTATGGAGCCAGGGCAGAGCCATGATCTGTAGTCCATACGCTCCAGGCATGGCTGCGCAGACAGGGGATTGCAGCTCTGCCCCGGCTCCAGACCAGACTGTCACCGCTGCAAGGAGTTGGGGCAGAGGCACAATCCCCTACTTGAGCGCCCCCGCCTGGAGCATGCAGGCTACAGATCATGGCTTTACTCTGGAGCAAGCTGCCCCCATTCCAAGTTCCCAGTGACTCTGGAGCAGCCCCCTGCACTGCTCTGCTATGTGCGCTGCCAGTGAGGTTCAGGTTGGTCTCCATGGCAACCCTAGCCTGAGCTTTCCTAGCAGGTGCAGCTGGAGTCTCCATGGAGACCAGCCCAAGCCATGAGCAGGGGCTGCTGGGAAATGGAGTCTGGCTGCTGACTGGATTGGCCATTTTGCCTACTCCTGGTGTACAAGCATCTGAATGCTGAGGTCTTGAAAAGTAGAGAGCTTGCAGTGCTTCCAGCCAGGGGTGGGAGGTGGGGAGGGGATGTTCATGCATCTCAGAGTGCAATGTAGGCTTCCTCTGTCTGCCTGGCAACAGATTGCAGTACTGCACATGGCAGCCCTGATTGGCTAACCCAGACTGCCCATGGTCAACCTACATTTCCCTGCAGCATAATGTGGGGAGTGCAAAGTGGGAGTGTTCTGGAGCATTAGAGTTCAGTGAGCAACATACTGTCTCCCTGTGGGGAATGGGGAGAAACTGGAAAGAAACCACAGCATGTACAGACATTCACTGTCCCAGAAGAAACTCTCCTGGGAGTTTTTTAAACCTGGTTGTTTGCAGGTTATTTTTCTCTTAGAGTGGCCATTTTTACCATGGGAGAAAAAGTCTGACCATCTTACACTTGTGGTTTCTCCTGGGAGAGCAGCAACTCTCCCAGAAGAAACTGAATGTCTGTACAAAGCTTCATCAGCTTCCAAACACAGAAACCAGGCAAATCCCAGGGCTGCCCTCAGAGACCCCGAGGTAAGCACAGCATGCTGCACAGAATACAGCCTTGTGCTGCTGCTGCTGCGGCATCTAATATTCTCTTGCTTCTGCTTCACTGTGCCCATACTCTAACTTCTCCCAGACCTCCTGAACTAAATCCCTTCCCACCCTGGTGGAGAGGCCTGGGTGTAAGGATGGGAACAAAGTCCTTCCATGGGTAAGGAGCTACACAAGCAGGGTTCTCCTCATGCCTGGATCCATGAGCATCTAGAACACAGAAATAAGGCATTTCGATTTACTTTGAGGCATACAAACAATCTCTAGTTTGTAAAACAGGAGTAGTTTGGGATGAAGTAGCGATACAAAAGCTTACACTGATAGAATCCTACTGCCACACCATCTGATGCACACAGAAGCAGGCAGTGCCACATCTTCAGATGTTTTGATGTTTTCTATTATATGACCCTGTTTTCAGTTGCTTATAAAACAGTGCTCAGGCTGAAATCTTCCATGCTGAGCATCCATCTAGCATTTTTTGGGGTGGGGTGGGGCAAGTCCTGAGACAATGCATCCAGCTGTTTCCAAGAACCAGCAGAAAAATTAACTTTTGCTCACATTAAAAAGAAGAACAAGCAGGAGGGGGCAACAGGGGAGGTTCTCTCATTCTTCCTAAGAAATCAAGGCAATTGATTAGTTACCTCAGGTGCCTGTACACAAATGCACGGAGCCTGGGAAACAGGGAAACAACCAGGAAGAACTGGAAGTCCTTGCACAGTTAAGGCACTATGGTGTGATTGGAATAACAGAGACTTGGTGGGAGCTCAAATGACTGGAGCACTACCATGGATGGGTATAAACTGTTTCAGAACCACAGGGAGGGGAAGAAGAGGAGGAGTTGCACTTCATGTAAAAGAGCCATAAGATTGCTCAGAGCTCCAGTACGAAACTGGAGATAGGCCTGTCAAAAGTCTTGCTTAGGGACAGAGGAGAGAGCTACAAGGGCGATGTTGTGGTCGGGCTCTGCTATAGACCACCAGACCAGAAGGAAATGGTGGATGAGGCTTTCAAACAGCTAGTGGAATTTTCCTGATCACAGGCCCTGGTTCTCATGGAGGACCTCAAATCACCCTGACATCTACTGGGAGGGCAATACAGCAGTGTGCAGGCAATTCAGGAAGTTTTTGTGGTGTTGGGGACAACTTCCTGGTACAAGTGTTGGAGAGACCAAACAGGGGTTATGCTCTTCTTGACCTGCTGCTCACAAACAAAGAAGAATTGGTAGGGAATGCAGTAATGGATGGTAACTTGGGTAGCAGTGACCACGAGATGATTGAGCTGCTGGCCATCATCTTTGAAAACTCATGGTGATCGGGAGAAGTCCTGGATGATTGGAAAAGGGCAAACATAATGCCCTTTAAGAAAGGGAAAAAGGAAGATCCAGGGAACTACAGACCAGTCAACTTCACCTCAGTCCCTGGAAAATCATGGAGCAGGTCCACAAGGAATCCATTTCTAACCACTTGGAAGAGGAGAAAGTGATTCAGAACAGTTAGCATGGATTCACCAAGGGCAAGTCATGTCTGACCAACCTGATTGCCTTCTATGAGGAGATGACTGGTCCTGTGGATGCAGGGAGGCCAGTGGATGTGGCATACCTTGATTTTAGCAAGGCTTTTGATTCAGTCTCCCACAACATTCTCCCAGGCAAGCTAAGGAAGTACGGACTGGATGAATGGACTAAGGCGGAAAGAAAATTGGCTGAAGCACTGGACTCAGAGGGTAGTGATTAATGGCTTGATATCTAGCTGGCAGCTAGTATCAAGTGCAGTTCCCCAGGGGCTGGTCCTAAGGTTGGTTTTGTTCAATATCTTCATCAACAACCTGGAAGATGGCTTAAAGTGCACCCTCAACAAGTCTGCAGATGACATCAAGCTGGGGGAGAGTAGTAGATATGCTGGAGGGTAGGGCTGGATTTGGAACAACCTAGACAAATTGGAGGATTGGGCCAAAAGCAATTTCATGAGGTTCAACGAAGACAAATGCAAAGTCCTGCACTTAGGACAGAACAAGCCCATGCACCAGTACAGGTTGGGGGCTGCCTGGCTGGGCAGCAGCTCTGCGGAAGAGGACCTGGGGGTTACAGTGGACAGTAAGCTGAATATGAGCCAACAGTGTGCCCTTGTGGCCAAAGAATGATAATGGCATACTAGGCTGCATTGGTAGGAGTCTTGCCAAGTAGAGCAAGCAAAGGGATTATTCCCCTCTATTCAGTACTGGTGAGGCCACATCTGGAGTACTGTGTTCAGTTTTGGGCCTGCCACTTCAGAAAGGATGCGGACAAACTGGAAAGAGTTCAGCGGAGGGCAATGAAAATGGTGAGGGGCCTGGAGAACATAACTTATGAAGAGAGGCTGAAGGAATTGAGCTTATTTAGTCTAGAGAAGACAAGACAGAGGGAATTTAATAGCAACCTTCAACTACCCGAAGGAGGTTTCAAAAGAGGACTGTTCTTAGTGGTGACAGATGACAGACAAGGACAAATGGTCTCCAGTTGCAGCAAGGGAAGTTTAGGTTAGATATTAGGAAGAATTTTCTCACTAGGAGGGTAGTTAAACACTGGAGCAGGTTACCCAGAGAGGTTGTGGAATCTCTATCCTTGGAAGTTTTTAAGACTCTGCTAGACAAAGCCTTGGCTGTGATGATCTGGTTGGGAATGGTCCTGTTGTGAGCAAAGGGTTGGACCTCCTGAGGTCCCTTCCAACCCTAACGTTCTATGATTCTATGATCTCTTGCCCATACTTATTACAGAATGTGGAATGTGCGACAGGAAGCAGAGCTTGTAAGTAAAGAGAAGTATGGTCTTATGTTTAATGCTGCCCTAGAGCATAATGTTCTTTCTCCATCTCTGCTATGGAATCTTTGCACGCTGTCAGGCAAGTCATTTAAACTAAGTATTTAACAGGCAGCCATTAATTTTTCCTTTCTTCATGGCATTTGCAACCCTGGGGTGTGATTTGCAGAAGTGCCCACCACTCACAATGCATTAAAAATTAGTGTAAGCTGTGCCTTGAAAACATGACATACTACCTAATGCAAAGGGGGGAGGGGGAGAAATCAGGTTCTATGAGTCTTAAATTGCCTCGATTTTTAACCTTAATCTCTGCATCTCTGCTCCCCCCTGTACAGGAGTATAGTGTTAGTTCTTCACCTCACAGGGGTTTCATAAAGATGCATAAATATTTGTAAGCCAGTCAAATGCTATGGTCATGAGTGCTACAGAAGACTCCATAAGAAAAGTAAATAAGCATTAAAACAAAGCTGGGTCTATACACTGGGCAAAAAATTAGAAAACAACAAAACCCCAAACCATTGGTCATTCACAAAGCCCCACCCACTCAGGGCAAAGGATGCGACAGGGACCCTGTGGAAAAAATGTGACCATGTCATTAGACAATGTCATAATGCATATGCAAAGGAGGGATGACTTCAGGTTGGTACATACAACCTTAACTCTGCCTTCCAAGGTATAATTATTTGAAATATATTAAATAAAACCTTCCCTTTGACAATTGTTGTCAACTGTTTCTGATCCCCCACTCTCCGTTTCTGTCAGAGCACCAGAGAACAGCAGTAAAGTAGCACCATCATAACAAGCTGCTAGAATCTGAACTACTGTTTTCCCAGTGTGTCAGTGACTCAGTGTTTCTGAGTTCTGGTTAAAGTATGCCTCTGCTATTTTTGTCATCAAATGACTTCCTTGGAATAGATCTGAACAGAAAGCAAACACCTCTGCATTTACAGACTTGCTTAATGCTGTGGTAACTTTTTTATTTTTAGGGTTATCTATGCAGGATTTTTCCAGTTATGCTAATATAGCTATGCTGTTATAGTAATGATAGTATAACTCTCCCCCCCAACCTTTTTTTTTGTTTTGTTTCAGTCCAATTCAAAATGGTTTCCAAGTTCATGTAAATTAAGTCAGTAAAAGGCCCTCACTCCAAAATAAGAATTTCTCCTGGAAAGTTACACTACTATAATTATACTGCTTTGAATTCACACAGTACCTCATAGTAGTATAACTTCCCCATGTAAAGAAGCCCAATATGCCATAACCACCAAGTGACCTTTGACAATTGAACCCACAGATTTGAGCATCCTCATAACATGGTTTGCAGTTCCACTCTGGAACGCTAAAGAAAATAAAAAGAATTAAAAAGGTTCTATTCATTACCTGATGTAGCCGAGGACTGTTCCACTATTCCAACCTTTACCACCTAGGATGGAAAAAACAACTGAGTCGCATGTAATGGCAGGCTCCAAAACTTTAAACAAACTTAGCCAAAACACTCAGCTCCACAAGTTCTCTTTGCATAAGTTTAATGATGCAATAGGACCAAAAAGATGTTTTAAAAACATGTAGCAAATGTTCTGGTCAGGGGATCACATAGCTGGCCTACTAGCAGCCATACAGCACTCCCCTGACTCTCACTCTTTAAAGACACAGACTACACAGTGTTGTCAAAAGCAGAGTGTTTGAGAGATCTTGCAGTTTAGATTATGCTAGGGGCTATTAACAGCTCTAAGAGGTCTCCAGGAATAAGACAGGGAGTAGAAAGGCACCTAAAACCCACTTTTGCTCATTACTTCTGTTCAGTCAAGTGCTAGCATGGCACATACCTGTAGAGACAGGCCTCTTCTCTTATTATCAAAACACAGCCACATCTGGGGTGCTGTTTGGCCAAATACCTATACTACAGCACAGCAAGTAATAGTTTCCAGTTGATAATCTACCATCAAAATAAATGCCTCCAGCACTGGTTAATGTTAGAGGATCATCACAGCTCTTGATACGGAAATCCAAATTGGAGCTCCTGACCAGGGCACTAAGGCTAACATACACTAGGGGAGTATAAGTGTATTGAGACATGATGATTTGACTCCTAACCAGCCAGTCAGTGCATAGCATCAATTTATTAAAACTTTATATGGGGGAGAGGGAAACAAAATACGTTTTATATTCTAAACCAATCATCCTTATTGTTATAGTTAACAGTCTCTGAGACTATTGAAAGTCATTCTGAAGCCTTAAGACTGATACTTAAATTTGAGAGACTAACATTAGTAGGAGAAAAGTGGCCAATATACTGCAATGAGTCGATATGAAACACAGGAAAAAAGGCGTAAAGGATGATAAATGTAAGTAGCTTCAACATCAGGAAGTCAGTCTTTTGACCTTTTCCATTTCTACTCTGAGGCCTCCGCTACCTGTTACATGCATTACACAATTAACTGGTTAATTGCACAATTAATTTAGTCTGGCTACATGTACAAAGCATTAACACACCATAAAAAGGTCCAACCAGCTATAAAGTTAGAGCTCAAAAGTGTGCAATATCTTTATTGCCAATTGCAATCCAGCTTTAATTTGCACACGTAGCAGGGGGCTGGGAGTCCTGTAGCTGAGGGAACTTCTCAGCCCCTCCAGTGCCCCACAGCTGCCAGGATGGAGAGGCCTGAAGCTGATGGAAGTTTTGGTGCCAAACAGCTGCAGAGCTCTTGGTCCTGGTGGCTATAGGGCTGCCAAAAGACAGTCTGCAGCCAAGAGACTCTTGGTCCCAGTGGCTCTGGTATACTGCCACAGATTCAAGTCCTATAGCTGACAGGAGCTGCAGGAGTTTTTTGCTTGCTGGTGCAGGAGAGCCTGGGTGGCATTCCCGGACTTTCCTCAGACCAGCATGATAAGGCATGATAGGATTTTATGCTGAATACCATAATCACACCTCCTGCCATACACTTGTGGCATGCAGGAGGAACGACTGGGTGGATTGTGCATCAGTTCCTATCATGCCTTTACCTGAATGTTTAGAGGGGTCCTGATAGTCAGAGCTGCACTCTGTAGCTTGGGAGTCGCATGTATACCCTGACATAGGAAGAACAAAGATGACTTCAAACTAAATTACTTAATCCTTCACTTAACATGAGAGATCAGCAGAAGGCTGCTTCAGCTCCAACAAAGCCTTCATACCAAGAATGCCTCTGCCCCCCCCCCCCCCCCCCCCCAGGAAGAATGTGCATCCTGTTAAGGTCCCTTGATAACCAACAAGCTGCTAACACAACATTCACAGGTTTGCAATCATTGTACTACACAGGCAGGACCTGGGTTTTTACAGATTAGGCAGCGAGCCCTTCAGAACAGGGACTAATTTCCTGCGTGCATGGTATCCAGCAAAAGCACCATTCTGGCTAGACCATCTTTGTGAGTTCAAGAACAATACTCCTCTGAAAGTGTTCCCTTTATAATGATAAAGCTCCCCTAGTACAAAAATGGGGTATGGATTTAGCCTTTGTTTGGACGGAAGCTGGGGGAGCAAACCAACCAACAAACCACAGTCCCAGGTGACAAAAAGCAGCACACAGCATTTTGTTTGGAGGAATCTAACCCAAATACAAATCTAACCCAACTCTGACTAACATGTAAAACCACATATAGGATTGCCATGTGCTATGGCACAGGGGTGGGCAATTATTTCGGTCTGAGGGCCACATAGAGAGTTTTGATGAGCTGTTGTGGGCCCGGTCAGCACCCCCTCCCCTGCCCACAAGCAACAGCTCACCAAAATTCTCTATAGGGCTTTGAGTGGGGAGCAGTGTCCAGGAACAGGATGACCATGATCTGCTCCCTGCATGCCCTGCCCTTGAGGGGGGGAGGAGGGGAGTAAGGAGTGGGGTGCTCTGCCAGGGATCCAGCCAGGGGTGAGGAGAAGGAGGGAGGGAGAGGCAAGAGGGGGTGTAGCAGAGCTTGTCCAATCTGTGACTGCCCGCGGTGCTCTGCATGGGATTGAACTCCGTCCAGATGTGCCCGCTAGCCCAGCCCAGCCCTGGCCCATGCATAGCTTCTGGCAGGGCTGTTCCTGATGCTGCTCTTCTCTCCTCACCTCCAGCAGGAGCCGCCCAGATGAAGCTTACCCTGTGCCACACCCAATTACCCAGAGCAGTGCAGCAAGGGCAGGAGCAGAAGCCACTGCTGGAGGCGAGGGGAGCAGGGCAGTACTCAGCCAGGTGCAGCTGCATTGGGAACAGCCCTCCTGGAAGCTGCATGCTAGCCAGGGCCTGGGCTGATGGAGCTGTTCTACCCTCCTGGTGGACAGTGGCCAGGAGCTGGAGCTAGAACCAGAGCCCCACACACTGAGGTGGGAGCCACCTGGCTGAAGCTCCCCCACCCTCGCCTGGAGCGTGAGGTGGGAGCCACCTGGCTGAAGCTCCCCCCCCCTCGCCTGGAGCTGTGCAGCAGGGGCAGGAGCAGGAGCCACAGTTGGAGGCGTGGGGAGCAGAATGGCTCAGGCCCCACCCAGTGTGCAGCTTCCAGCAGGGCTGTTCCTGGTGTGGCTGCAGGTGGCCAAGTGCTCAGCCCGATGTGGAACACCACAGAGGCAGCCATGGGCCAGATTCAGTCAGTAGACAGGCCATATGTTACCCACTCCTGCTATAACACTACTTAAAGTGTTCCTAATTGTTCTGAACGTACCACAGAAGAAGTGGAAAGCTAACAACTATATATTTAAGATTCAGCTGCAAATTCTGGTCTTTCCTTTTTACTTAATTGCTCAATTTCCCCGTTAGGATTTTTCCACTGATGTTCTTCTTGGAAATGGCATGCTTGGATAATTTAAAAACAAAAACGGTTTAAGCTAGAACAAGTTCAAGCCTTAGGTCTCTGAACAACATGAGACCAGATCCTCATTTAAAAATTAAAATCTACCAACACCTCTTTAGTTCTATGCTTCCAGGATAGGAAGAATATTTTCCTTTGGTTACCCAAGCCCTGAAGCAGGAGGGTGCTACTGATTTAAAAAGAAAATGAACCTTCATAGCTTTAGATCTAGTGAACCAGGATTGTTCAAACTTAGTTTTATTCCTCACAGTAGGAAACTTGATCAAGCCAAGATAGAGATCTTTATAACGTTTGCAGGATGTGCTGTGTGGTGTTTAGACCATTTAAAACCTAATGCCTTTGAGTTGGAACTGAAACATTCTGTAATACAACATAGATCTAGAGCCGTTACGGGTCTCAACAAAATCAACTGACTCCAGATCTTACATGACATTCAAGGTCATGAAAATGCTTGTAAGCATAAGAACAGCCTGCATAATTCATCTTTGGAATAAAAGTAATTTAAGGCAGTGAAGAGTCAAAGCCAGGATTTGTTGTCCTAAACCGGAGGGGTGTTGAAATGAAAGGAAGATGAAGTTGTGTCACGGGTCACCATTAGAGTAAGGCAACCTAAGCTCTACAAATAGTTGAATCTTTGGAAGGCACATATGGAAACTGTATTATGCTAATCTAAAACAGGAACACCACAAATAGCCAATTTAAGTCACACCCGTATATAAAAGCAAAAGATATTAAAAAACCAAAAATGAAAATAAAATGACAAGAGCCATCTAGTGGCTAAAAGAACTCAGTTGAATCCTGCTTTCCACTCTAGCTCAACTTCTAACTCAATGTCTCAGGGGATTAAAGGACCTGGTCCAAAACAGGAAAGAAACCCGAGAACAGTAAAACTACTGTGCTTCAAGAAACAGCAGCAGGAGCATTAAGTAGAGTCAGGTGACAAGTTTCTATGTCTTTCAATGTGTTTACAAAAGCTGTATAAATGCAACAGCAATTTATACTCCCCTCAAGTCTGAAGCACTTACTTGCATGAAAGTTTAAATATGAGGATTGGGGAAAAACTGCTAGGTTAGCAGATTCCATGCTGAACAAGTATTCCAAATGCAAGAGAGGAGCAAGACTGTGGAAAGCTAGTACGAGATGCTGCCACTGAAGTATTAAAAGATGATACAATATTTCCTATAAATTATGCTGACTGCAATATAGGTCTTTTGTCAAAACCAGTATTTTTGATAAGTTTATAAATTCAGCTGTTGATGATAACCAGGTTGATATATCCTAGAGCCATGGCAAAATATTTGATCTAGTACTGCACATTTATATGTTCTGGATTAATGGGTAATTATATCCTAGAAAACAAATGCATGTAGGAATCCCCTTTCCCTCCCCTTTAAGTGGGGCACTTTTAATGAGATCCTATTTATAGCTTTCCGTTTTGTTGAGAAATAGTATTGAAATAGTTTCGTAATTCAGTCCACAGATGATGAATATTCGAGTAATAGATAAGGACTGATCAGTTTTACAGAACAAGTTTGATTACTTGAACATGGAATTTAAAGCAAGGATTAAAGGGATCACATCTGGTAACTAAAAGTTATAGGGCATATGTACAGGGCCAGGGACTTTATCCTGGAAAGTAATGACCCTGAAGAACAAAGTCTCACCAGTTCAGTTGGTCATCCTGTTCAGTTGGTGAATAAACAACTGAACTGGATGCAGAAGCAAGCTGAGCTATTTTGACCCCCTGATACAAGAAGGGAAATATTCAGGAGAAGTAAGGAGGTTCACTCCTGTGTATGGAACTGAAGAGACATACTGGACACTATATCCAGGTCTAAAAGTATAGATAACCAAAAGGATGCTAACAAACCATAAGAGACTCAGAAATCAGCCACAACAGTGATAGGCAGTCAGTAAAATCCCAATTGATTTTACCAAAAACAGTGACCTTCCTTCTTTAAGCTCAGAGTAACAGCTACCCAGGTTGAGCTTGAGGTGGCTTGTTTAATTATGAAGAGATGCTAGACAGGCAAGGTAAGATTTTAATTTGGCCAGAAGATCCAGAGCATAGAAGCAGGTCTGAATCATCCTCAAGGAGAAGATAGCTACATTTGTGCCCATGGATGAACCTATCCAAAGAAAAGATGCACAAAGAGAAAGAGATCAAGAGAGACTTGTAGGGACCCCCAGAAAAAGGAGGTAATGGGGATCATCCTAAAGACATAACAAAGGAACATGAGATGAACCAAGGAAACCAGGAGAGGGTGAAGTGCAGTAAGCCAATGGAGGCTCATATTTTTTTAACAAGAGCACAGTTTGTGTTATCAAAGGTGTCAAAGAAGAGGATGATGAATTACTGTCTCAACTATGGGCAAGTAGTAGTTGTAGGACATTTTAGCAAGAGCAGTTTCAGCAGATTATAAGGGCCAAAAATTGGACTAGAGTGTAGAGGAGGATAGAAACTTCTGAACATGACAGAAGGAAAATGAGGAAGAGATACTTTAACTCACAAAAGTCATGGACTTAATGCAAGAAACACTGGGTGAGGATCTGCAGTCCATTTTATGCATGTTTTCACATGTTTGTATAATTATAAATGTTTATATTTACAATACAATTCTAACTAACCCATGGATGTCTGTTTCCTGGTGTATTAATTTCATCTTGATTATACATTCAGTAAATACTTGCTTTAAAAGGGTGGCAAACCATTTACCAGTTTACTGGAGAATAAGCAGCTAAATGTAGTTTGATAGCAAAAAGTAAACTAAGGGAGATTTGTATTTGAAGGTGATCACTCTGCTACTTTTGTTTCCTGGCAATTTGGAGGTTCCTTTTTCCAAAAGGTTTTATTTTTTCATTTTGAAATTATTGGTAAAATAACAGCATTAATTTATTTAAAGTTTTAGGCTACATAGTGATGTCAGATGCATTCCTTTACACACAACCAATATGCATACTGTTGGTAATATAAGGTTTGATATTGATACCCTTAACTACAGTACTTAAACTTCAATGACTGGACTTTGTGGTTAAAAGCTTAAAATTTAAAGTATCTGCTCTCCTGAGCTTTATATTTTCTGTAGCTTGTCAAAAATCTCACTTTAGGGTTTTACTAAAAGTTACATTATGCAGTTTCATCCAGCCAAAGATAACGGGCACAAAAACAAGCAATCTAAGCTTTAAGACTGGACTGTTACAAAGAGCAAAAAAGTGCAAGGCTTTTTCAATTTGGAAAAAAATTCACAGGTATATCCTTGCTCAACTTCATTAAAAGGGTGTTGATTAATTTAATATGAACTTTACAGCTCAAGACTTGTTGCTTTCTGGATGACTTCCCTTAGTCAAACATGGAATGGTCTAGACTCAGTAAAAAACCACAACTAGATGACATGCTAAAACTTTTCTATGGTTGAGGTCAGATTGATGATCCCCTCCCAGTCCCTTCTGACTTAAGGATCTATGAGTGCCAGTACACTGATTAAAACAATCAGAACCTTGTTACCTTCATCAAATTCACCCAGCTTGAACCTGCATCTTCAACACAATACTCACCCCAACGAAGGGAATGAACTTCTGGGAGGATTCTTCATCAGGGCTGAAAAATAATGGAGAAAGTCATTAATAGCTTATTTCACAATAAAATGTTGTTCATTTTAAGGTTTTATTCTCAAGCATGCAGCAGAAACAGAAAAGTGCACAAGCGCCACTTCTATTACTTTTCTTGATGCATCCTCTGGCACTACTTAGACAACCCACGCAGGCTGGAAAGGATTTCATATTTTGTCAGGGAGAACTTTCTTTAAAGAATATACCAATCTCCCTCCTTCACATTTGCTTTTTTCCCTTTTCTTTTTAAACAGAGAAACATGCTTTAATGCCATGGCAATAGTTACAGAAAAATGTTTTTCCTGTTACAAAGAAATGAATCTGTGTCACAACATACAACACCTGCAATATGGAGAACTGTAGGTCACTTACTAGTAACTGGAGCTTTCTGAATGCACTGCCTTCACAAGTCCCATTTTTGGAGTCATGTGCCATACCTTGTAAATCACAGAATCACTAAAGCAGTTATAGCCTGCCATAGGGTTACAAGCCGTAACACATTATTATTTGTATGGCACTAGGCACACACACAAGAACACATGCTCCCTGCAACAAGAAGCTTACAACCCAAGTGAAACAAATACAGCCCAAAACAAAGCTGAGGCACCAGAGTAGGAATGGAGCACACCAGTGAGGTCAGTGTTGACGATGCTCAATGGAACTCAAAGCAGCCTTGGAGGAGAGGCAGTCTAGTTCTAGGGGGTGTGATGGGACAAGGGAAGATGCCCCTTATGAATGCCAAAAGGTGTGAAGAGGGCACTACATACATTCTGAAAGAAGCATCACAGAAGCCCCATCCAGAATTCAAAAACTAAAGGATGGAGGAAGCGAAGAGAAACTTGGAGCTGTTAAAGGACAGAACAATTGGAGATGGCAGACACAGGGTGAGAAGTCAGTGAAAGAAAGAAACAGCAGGCAGGAGAGACAGAGGAAAAGGGGAGGAAAAGATGGCAGCTGCTGGGGACAAAAGCCTTTGAAGAACCACCGAGATGCCCCAAATGTAAAAAGGAGGTAGGTGATTAGAATGGCAAAGGTCAGGAGGGAATAACTTGAGTGACTCTTTGAGCAGGAACTGGAGTAACCTGAATTGTGTGCGTGTACAAGACAAGTTACATTTTGAAATGGACATGACCAAACTGAGTCCAGTTCTGGGCACTGCACTTCAGGAGGGATGTGGACAGCATTGAGAGGGTCCAGAGGAGGGCCATCCACATGATCAGGGGTCAGCAGAGCAGGCCCTACAAGGAGAGGCTAAGGGACCTGAACCTGTTCAGCCTCCACAAGAGAAGGCCGAGGGGGGGGATCTAGTGGCCATTTACAAACTAGTCAGAGGGGACCAGCAGGCACTGAGGAAGTCCCTGTTCCCCCGAGTGCTAGTAGGAGTGACTAGAAATAACGGTCACAGGCTGGCAGAGGGTAGATTTAGGCTAGACATCAGGAGGCACTACTTCACTGTCAGGGCAGCTAGGATCTGGAACTAGCTTCCAAGAGAAGTGGTGCTTGCTCCTACCCTGGGGGTCTTTAAGAGGAGGCTAAATAAACACCTTGCTGGGGTCGTCTAACCCCAGTACTCTTTCCTGCCATGACAGGGGGTCAGACTTGATGATCTGCTCAGGTCCCCTCCGACCCTACCAACTATGAAACAAGTCTGGGGTGGAAGGTTTCCTGTCCGCAGCCAAACTCAGAAAGTAGGTGGGGAACAATGATGGTTGATAATTTCTAAAGAACAAAGTAATGATTTTCAAGTACTTGGATCTTGCAATATTGCAAAGGAGGCAACTTTGCGAAGTAGGCAACACCTACAACAGGGCTAACTAGAGTCCCAATCTGCATATTAAATCAAGCTGAAAGTAGGGAAGGTGCTGACAACTGTACCATTAGTACAGGCTGGACCATTTCTTTCAAGTGCTACATAAAGGGTGGTGCACACCTACAGGAAATGTGACTCACTCACAGCCCCTTCCTCGTCTGAACCATAGCAGGGTACAACTCACTCCTGCATGGTCTCAACCCTCCTGGGCACATCCAAACTGAACCAATGTTCCAAATCACTCCCTGCCCCCCAGCTCCAACAGTTTTCTTCATGCTTCCATCTTACTGAGTGAGGACAAGATACTACAGATGCCTGGGACTTTATTTCGGTTACACTCTTAACTACAATGTCAGCTGAGACGGTGAAAGTGCATCCTTTAGAAACCCAGCTGAAGATGCCCCACTAAAATACCTCAAACTGAGAAATGCAATTGAGCCACATATCTGACAAATCCCCAGTGGACAACTGGCATTTGTGGAGCTGCTGAGATGGAACAATTGATGGAATTCCAGTCCTTTGTTTCCTTGGTCTCAGCAGGTTCAGAGTATTCATTGTCTGAAATAACCGTGTGCTACCTAACCATTAAGCCAGTAGAGCAATGCAAGTATCATGCTGCTTAATCTTCCTGCTGTTCAAGTTCTTTGCTCTAAGCACTAAAAACCAAACACACACATTGTTCCAGTACAAAGCCTGTTCTGCTGAGGACCTTCATGGCAGGCAACAATGCAGATCCCTTCCAAGGAATGTTGAGAAGTTGGTCATTCATTAATAGCACTTTGTTCATTTTTAAAGAGAAAGTAGCAAAGATTCCCCACCCCCTTTCCTCCATCCCCGATGAGCGATGGCAGTTTTTTAAATGACAACTGAATGGAATGTCAGTTAGAAGTACTAACTCTAAAAAAAAATCACTTAGGTTGGAAGATTAAATATATAATTATTTCTCTTTTGTACTGTATAGAAACTTGCTTATTTTTGCTTACTCCTACTAATGGTCTTACAGATTTCTCCAGGGAAACATCAACAGGCTGTAGGTTCATACTGGCCCCTAGATGCTACGACAAGTATAAAGAAAGCCCTATAATTAAAACAAGGGCTTGTCTAATGGGGGAGATGCTCAAAAAAAACTAATAAGAATTAAAACAGATTTGTTAAACCATATTAAATGCATGTATAGATACTTATTCAGAATTAAAATGCCCTTAATTTGCTTCAGTTTAATTTCCATAGGACAAAGTATTCTGAATTTAAAAACCATTTACACAATTGGGATTTAATATGGTTTTACTTAAGGGTGTCAAATACATGGCCTGTGCGCCAGATTCAACCCATGAAGCCCTATCATCTAGCCCACGGTGTTGCCTGTGGGTCTTAAACTGGGCACTCTTGCTGGGAGAGGAAACACCTTTGTTATTTAAGACTCTGCCTTCCCCATCCTGAGCATGAAGGGTCAGACTGTCAGCATGTACCACCATGGCACAGCAAATGCAGTGGTCTCACCCTACAGCATCCACATCTGTGTTGCCACCCTTCAACAAGAGTTACTGGCACTGTTATTGTGATACTGCCAGTGTTACTACTGTCTACTGGATGTGAGCCAGCCTTCTATGGCTCAAGGGACATACATGCCAACTCTGTCTGGCCAGGTTCAGAGATACCCCTGAATTCATTCATCATCACATGACATGCCCTGAAAAACATAGGTCAGGAAATAAAACTCGGCTACTTTTCTGGCATAATCCAAGGTCACTCTTTCAGCGAGTGTTGTTTGTACTCTCAGAGGGGCAATTGTGGCCATTCTGTTTGCAATACGAGAGAGGGAGTGCGTGCAGAATGCAGTAACTGCAGAACACAAATTCAGCATGAATTTGAAGAGGCAGAAAAAAGTGACACACCCCTATCCTCCCAGTACAAATGAGCAATGCCTTCATTTCGATAAGCCAAGCTGCACCCAAGATGCATGCAAAAGGTATCCAGAAATGGCAAGGCACAAGTTGTACTGGCCCCTGAATTACAATGGGTGACACTGGCTAGGGTTTTTTACACTATAAGCAAATGCTAGGTAACCTTGTTAAGCCAGCTAATCTGAGTTACTGCTGGTGGTCAAGGTGTTTCAACCATGATGAACAAAGCCTAGAAGAATTCTTCAGTACAGACACAGCAGTCATTCATTCTTGTGAGTCATCTAAACAGACATCTGCTCCTAAAGGATTCTTCTGTTCCCTTGGTGTTGTGTAGTGTAATTAGATGTTACTCACCTGGAACTTAAACACTTATTTCAATGATTTTGTATCCAAATCATTCTCCCCCAACCTATGTACAAAGTCAGCCACCCAGTGTAACACAGAGATGGCATGGAATTTTTTCTTCCTAGGGCCTTTCTTCTCCCCCACCTTTCTTCTTTTTTGTTAAAATCAGAGTAAGGTGAGCAGACACTCCAAAAGAAATGGGGCAAAGCTTTTACAACAACAACATCTATGACAGGCAGTACATGCTTCAATCTCTTGCCATGACAAACGGAACAAGGGGGAGAGGAAGGAGGCAGAGGTCAGCAAGTCAAACTGGGTGGAAAATTGGCAATAAATGAGTCCAAGCAGCTCACCGCAGACAGCTACATTCTAAAAGACTGGCTTTTCTCTCTGGTTTTGGTTCTTTCAGATCACTAGGGCTTGTTTAACAGAGCAAATGCCAGGATGCTGGGAGGTTTCTCTTATAAAATTTCTGGTGAGAAATTTAATGCATTGGTAACTAGAGCTGTTGCCTCCAACAGACCCTTGACAAAGCTCAAGTGGCTTAAAAGAAGTCATTTCCCTCCGGACAACAGGGAGATGGAGAGCTCCAGAGAGCTTTGTGGAAAGAAGACTGAATACATGCCAATCATGTCCACCAGTTGGAGGGTTCAGAACTGGGGCAGAATGCAGAGTGTGAGAGCCCAAAGTAAGATACCAACAAGGTTTATACCTGCACCCCCAATCCCTACTTGCTATTCTTTCCATAGCCTGTTTGCCTTCTCCTTTTTAAGGCTTAAAAAAAGTACAGAAGCAAGTCTGAGTTTGTGGGTTGTGTCTTTTGAGGAAGTAAATTTCCATTCTGAGATTCTCTGGGAGAACATCTGGCCTGCCATCTCAAAAACCCTGAGCTTTCATTTTCACCTGGAAAGTTTCTAAACCCTGCAGTCTGAAGCAGGCCATCAGCCATTCAGTGAAGCACAGGCTCTTTAAAATTACAGTGGCTGTGGCCCTTAGTCTTAAATTTATTTCTGATCCCTTCTGGATTTTACATCTTCTAGTAACTGTAACTTAAGAACAGGAATTGCCCAAATATTAACATGAATGTTACCTTTACAATGCCTTCATCTGTACTGGTAATTTTAAAGCCAAATGTTACAATTCTAATTCACTTTACCATGCACATTTTATGTTGATAGATTTGCTTCAATACGTCTGGGCAGTAGATGCAGATCGGCCAGTTTCATTTTCACATGTGCATGCCCTCAAAGAATACTGGCCAAATTTATTTCTTTAGTAACCTTTCTACTCCTACTAAAGCTATTTCCCGTGAGCTCTACATTTTGGACCAAAGGGACGCTGGCAGAGTAATTGCTTTCAGAGTGCATTCTGCCACCAGAGGCAATTGTGTCAAAAGCAATGAGGACAATTTAATCTGAAGCACAATTGAGTATCCCAGACCTGCAGGAACTGTTAAACAAGGCATAAAAGCCCAGCCCAGGAAAAAAAAAATATAGGAAAAACAAGATGGGAAAGGGAACCTAGAAAAAAAATATACCTTATGGTAAAATCAAAATGAAAGCTCTTTTTCCTTTTCAGAAAGCAACCAAAGGAAAAGATAAACACCATTATTATACTTACAACACGAGAACACCACATTCACTTAGGTAGTTCTAATGGAATTTCATTTTCAATGTTATTTGCTGAAATAAATTCCCTCAAGTCACTGCCAAAAACAGTAAACCATGTTCCTGAAGGAAGCAACCTTCCATGGGATAAGTTGCTTTCCTAGCCCTTTCTCCAGTCCAAAGTGGTACTTGGCTGAAAGCAGAAGCCGTTTTAAACACACAGTGGAGTTTCTAGAGTCCAAGGACACCACATCTTTGCCAGAAAGTAAAGAAATACAAGAAAGAGGATGGGCCAGTGGACGTAGAGATGAATAAAATTCTCAGCTATGCCACTTCCAAGGAACCTTAGACCCAGAAATCCACTATTTAACTCTGGAAAAAGGGTGGGGGGAAGCAGGGCACCAGTCCCAAGCACTGATTTAGAGAGGACATCATATGGCAACCCACAGGGAGTTTTTGCTGCTGCAGCAACTGCCTCTATGCAATAAATAAGTGTTTGCTCCCCTGCCCCTGTGCCATCCAGAGCACCAAAATTTCAAGTAATGCCTTGGCAGCAACTGCATTGTAGAATGCAGGCTACCTCTAGGGCTTGGGGCCTAATGCCAGAGGACTTCAGAACACCCTGATGCTAAGATAAAAAAAAAAAAAATCTCAGCAAATAATTGCAGAACCAACTTTCTTGGTAAGAAAGACACGGTCATTGAGGGAAGCACGTGAGGTCTAGCTGAGTTTCACAACATTTTCAAAGTACCACTTACATTTTTTTCTTAAACCAGCCAGCCTGACTTTCCACAATGGCCGAAGTGGCTAAAAGGATGTACTTGTTACAAATGGGAAACTGTACTAAAAGTGAACGAGCTGAAAGGAGACCAAACGTGCCCCCAAAACATGGAGGGGAAGAGAAGGGGGGTCTGGAAACAAAGGCCCCAATAGTGGAACAGGTTAATGTGTTAGCAAAGCTGTTTAGTCAAATAAAAGTCAATTTGTTCTTTCCCCCCGCCTCCCCCAACTTATAGAGAAACTGCAGGGTCATTAATAAATGAGAGAGAGAAAAAAACAAGGCTTTTAGGAAGGTCAAGCAACCCAACTGCTTCTTAAACTGTCTGCCAGGTTCACTTTACAGAATGGAGAGGGGCAAATACAATTTTAAATACACAGCTCATAAGAAACACAAATATAAGACAGCATATCTGGGAATGTCCCCTTTAGGAGATTAAGGGAAATAACTAAGGTTTTACTAAGCCACCCCCAGATATGACAGAGGAACAAAACTGGGAGCAACCACAGGACTAGAAACAAAATTTGGTGAACACTTTGAAAGAGTGGAGTAACTCTCCATCTAGTTTCCACTCCTGTGCAAACTGAATGCAAGGCAGCTAACAGAACTATATCATTGAAGTGAAAAGCTAAATAGCAGTTTAGAAGCATAGTTAAAACTCAGCAACAGCTCACTCGCATCACGTGTACCCAGTATCGTAGACTGATGGACATTAACTGAAATATGGAGTAGGGGTGCACTGATAGACATTTTTTGGGCTGATACCAATGGCCAATTTTTAAAGACCATATCAGTCAATGCCAATCCGATTGCTGATACGCAGCCCAGCCATTGTCCAGCTGATAAATCTATTGTGGGGGAAGGGGCAGGGGGACAGATCGAGGGCCTCATGGCGTGGGAGGGAGTGGGGCTGGGGCTGAGGCAGGGGCAGGTGCTGCAGCTGGGGCAGGGCACAGGACTGCTATGAGCAGCTAATCCAGGAGGCGCATGGAGGGGGGTGGCTCCCATTGCTGCACATGCCTGGGGCGGGTGGGGAGTGTGTACCCCCAGATCTGTACGGGGTAAGGGCAGGCTGCCACTGCAGGCTGGGGCCCCAGGGTTGCTCCTGGCTCCTCCCAGTGGAAGAAGGGGCTGGGCTAGGGTTGCACTCAGGGCAGGTGGTGGCAGTGCTGGGAGGAGAGCTACCGGGGGGCAGCAGTCACCCCAAAATTCATTGTAGCTGCCCCCCCCACACCACCGTTACCCACCCCAAGCATAGCCCAGCCCGGCCCCCTGCCAGGAAGACCCCAACACCACCCCGGCCCCAGCCTGCAGCAGCAGCCTGCCCTCCCCGCACATACAGATTGGGACACATACCCCACCATGACCTTCCAGGCTGTATGCAGCAGCAGAAGCTATCCCCTCTCTCTGTGCGCGGTGTGTCCAGGGGATGCAGTTCTGTCTTGCACCCTGCCCCAGCCCAGCAATGCCTGCCCCACTCCCTCCCGTACTGCAGGGGCTCCCCCCATACATCCCTTCCCCCACAACAGACTTATCAGCCAGATGCTGCTGGGCTGTGCTTCTGCCTGCATGCACAGGGACATTGATTGGTGACATTAAATCGGCCGCATCAGCCAAAAAAAACATTGCCAATACTGTCAATTTTTTTTACATCAGTGCCAATCCAATATAGGACCAATGTATCAGTGCACCTCTAATACAGAAAGTGCTGTTACTCTGAGCCACTGGGAAGAGAACAGTGTATGCAGAGCCTCTGCTCCATGTCTTTTCCATCACAGAGCGTTTAAATACATGGCATGGCAAATGGAAACAGAAATCCCTCTATCTACTTTTCCTTTTTGCCTGAGGCTACATAGGGTCTATCCCCCGCCCTTCTACACCTCACACTCTCTCCTCTTCAGCTACATCAGCTACACTGAAGGAAGTAAGGCAGGATTACTGTTGTTCTAGATTTACTGTCTGCTGATTACCCAAAATGTTTACATGGAAACACAGTACCACTTTTTGGAATGGTTCCCGATTTGGCTTTGCCACTCTAATACAATGTTCCTCTTTCATATTTACATGTTCCTCTTTGAGACTAAATTTAAGACAGCCAACATATACCAAAAGTGAAGTGGTTTGCTCCCAACCATTGCTGTGTCTTGTGACATTTTGAAAGCCATTGTTTTGTTTTTTTAGCAACATACCTTTTCTGCTTGTATGTCAACATTGCTTCTGCAATCGGCAACTGATGTGCACAGTTTGCCCCCGCTATGTACTGGGTTATTCTTGAGACGATATCAGGTGTGTCCTGAACTGCAACAGAATGAAAACAAAGACAGTAGCAGAGCAAGGACTATCTTTGATTAATGCATGCTGCCAATTTTCAGTAGCAGTTACTTAAATCATGCAAGACTAATATCCATTGCAAAAAACAAAAACAAATAAAAAGGGGGGACACTTCCAGTCAGTCACATGCCAGATTTTAAAAAAAGGGGGAGGACCCGCATTTAGAAAGTTCTTTCTCAAAACAAGATGCCACCAAGGTGGTGACAGAGGGAGACAGAGTGCTAATACTCTGCTCTTTCTCTTCCCTGACAGCACAGTTACACACCAACGCTGAGTGGAGACGGAGTTAATGCACAGCAGTTAAAGTTTCTTGCTGCCTCAAGGCAGGACACAGGACTTCTGCCAAGTAGATGGTGGACAAGAAGTTACCACTGAGGGGTGTAAAATTATCTGTCCTACAGGACAAGCAGCACCTGTCAGCTAAAGAGACAACCAAAAGGCCTAAATGCCAAATCCTCTCACAGAGGAACAAAAAAGGCTAGACTAGACTGCTGTTTTGGCAGTGCCAGTTGGGATTCCCCAGGGAAGGCTGAACAGTCTTGCACTTAAAGGCAGGAACTCTGCTATAGTTGCATATGAAGGATATAAAAGATCCTCCTCAAACTAACAGGATTTGAGTACAAAAATCATGCATATTCAGACTTTCCAGATGGTTAAAACTCATTGAATTTGCCTACAGACTACATGAGGAAGATTCCTGTTCATTTTTGAGATTCTTCATAATGGAAAGTTTTTTTCAGGGAGATTGGCATGGAACTACCTTCTTTCAAAATGACTTCCATCTCCTTACAGTATCAGATACTAAGGCCATAGGTGGCCTCAGGTAAGATGCCCTCTTGACTTTGCCACTGAGAATAATGGGGGAAGTGGCCATGTCCTTTCTGGAAGGTTTCACTTCCAGTAAGCCCTTGCAAAAAGGACAGGATATCTTTGAAGAAATATCCTCCTGTTGCTATAAAGCAGCAGCTAAAAAACCCACCACATTTACCCTAATAGTTTCTGGCCCAGAATGGTTAGGTAGAGCTAATGCGCATGACTTTGAATACATTCTGAAAACAATGTGGTCAAATCAAAATCAGTCACAAATCTTTGTAAATCCTACTTTGCACATGAAGTACATTTTAGGAGTTCTTTCCCTGGGCTGGTAAAATGGAAAGTCATGCAATACCTGTGCTTACATGTTACAGGACCGTTGCTTTTCCTTCTACAACCTTAGCATAAGTACCTGTGTGCGCCAGATATATAGATTCCACATAAGAGATGCATTTTTTTAAGCACAAAAAACACCAATTAGGAGAGTCTACTGGCATAACATCTGCAGGTTAGTCAGCTTCCTCGTTAACCATCTGCACTCATGAATAGCAATTGTGGCAGCACAGCACATGGCTTCCAACTAAATACACATCTTGTCAGCCAAAATTTCCCGAATTAAGTTTGAAAGCAGAATTTTCCTTTGAGCTCTATTTTGATCAAAAGCCACCAACTTAAATAGGAAAAAGAAGGTGTTCTGACTTCAAAACTCTAAATAAAAGTTTGAGCCAGTAAGAAAACACTCTGGAGCACAGATATTTCAAAAGCCAATCAGAAGTGACCTCTCTTTCCCTAATTTTAGAGCTCCAGCATTCTCCCTAAACTTGATCTACACAGCAGAGGCTGCTCTATAGGGTATGGATATCAAAGCCATCTTGGGTATCAATTGATAGCAGTCTAGCTGTGATAGCACAGAACAGAATACAGGCTGCAATAACCACTCAAAAAGCTGAGTACGTTAGCTCATGCTGAGCTGCATACTGCCACAACCAATGGCAATGAGTAGGGGGTGCACATGCAACCCCTGAGCACGCTCCCGGGCAAGGTGGGGCAGGCCAGAGCACTGGTACCCTCTCCCCCAACCCTGGAAGTGCCAGCTGGGGAGTGGAGGTGCCAGGAGAAATGGTCCCCCCACAGCCAATTGCATTAATCTGGAAGTGCCAGTGACATGCTGCTGCCACTTGTGGATTGGCAGGATCAACTGCAGGAGAACTCCCCACCCCCAGTGAGCAGGATTGGCCAAGGGATTGGCTGCAGGGTGCCCCCCTGGTCACTGACTATCAGCTGGGGGGGGGCAAGTGCCCCTCAACTCAGGAGGCACCAGTTGCCCAAGGTCACAACCAGACCCCTACTGATACCCACAAGTGAGCTTGAGTTTTCTAGGGCACAGAAAAATAGCTGCTGCAGCAGCTGGTGAAAGGAAGAAGTCAACTGCATCTTAAAGAATTAAAACTTGTTCCCCTGACATGTGCTTGCAGTTTTCTAAAAATAACTTAACTCACTCCAGTTCTTTGCTCCATTGCAGTCTAGGCCTGATAAAGGGGCTTACCAGTGGTCTGTGCTTCAAGTTTGTTAAACAAATCTCTCCAGGCTAAGTCTTGGAAGAAGTTGTTGTATCTATAATCTACAGAGCCCAGGTACTTTGCTACAGGATGAGACCCTAAGAAGAAAGAAAAAAAATGCCAGCTGTTACTACAAAACACTGAACACAGACAACTGTTAGGAGTTTATTTCAGAGACCAAACTACATGAGATACTCCATGAGTCTAATTTTTTTTAGTTACAACAAAAAGCAAGTTAGACCAATTATTTCAGACTTGTGTACTTTAATTTAGGTTCCTGAATATGGACAGATGCCCCAAGACACTGAGGACTTGCAGCTCCCATTTTACAGTGGGGATGTCAAGCTCAAACCAGTTGGAGGGCCACATTTCCTGCTTTCCAGGTGCCTGCAGGTCACAATAAGACTTCCTGTGGTAGCAGCTAGCACCCTGGCAAGAACCCACTGTGCTGCTAGGGTTGCCAGTAGCCCGTTCCCACAGGACTCTGGCCACAGTGGCAGGGCTTTTGCCCACAGTGCCACTGGGGCTGCCAGCAGTCCAGCTCTTGCTGGAATGTCAGCTGCTATTGCAGGAAGCCCTACCACCGCAGCCCACACCAGGACAAGAGTCCATGGGCTAGATGACCTAGCTCTGCAGATTAGATCCAGTTCACAAGTAGTATGTTTGACACCAGTTTTTCAGCATAATCCAGACCTCCCCATAAGTTTTTCTGTATTTTGGCCAATAATGACTTTCAGGAATTAATTGGAAGAGATTTGTATCTCATACAGCTACAGAAATAGCCAGACATTGTAACAGATACTTAGTACCCAATTTGCAATAACAATGCAGAGATATCCACACCCTGTCACTTTCCCTCAATAACTAAAGCTGTGGTGATATAAATCTCTCTACTCTGTACAAAGTATAAAACCTGCTGTCCTGACCAAATATTCTTGGACCTATATTATTTTCCAGCAGTGGAAACACTGTTTTATTTTAATTGCTTTCAGCAGCCCAAAAACATGTTCCAACACTTAAGTGAAAGCAAAAAACACAAAAAAAACACAAACACCACACACAAAACACAAAGACCAGAGACAGAGCTGAAATTTGCTGAGGAATGAAATGCTTTTGAAATGTTAAGACCCTTTGCCTCAACTCCTGATTCCAGTTTAGTCAGCAGGAATTTTGCAAATTACTTGAAAAGCAGCATCCAAATCAAATCCTTCTTTCCTTCTCACAGGTCATCAAGGCTCCTGTCCTGAAAACTGCTATAATTAACTGAGTAGGTTTCATTTCCTTACTCAGAGAAGTCAGCTTCCTTTACCCTCCAAATTTCAGGTCTTCTACATGATAGCTGTCTGAGACAGAAGGGAAGAGTATAATCTTTTTCACCTCAGAAAACACCCAATAGGGAGAAGACAAAAAAGCCACAAAAGTTATTAAATGGAAAACAAGGGAAAATGCTAACAAGGGTCCAGAGAAGAGGAGGTGCAGTTCTACTAGAAACCAAGCATACAAACACTAAGCAACTTCACGGTTTCCCTAAACCAGGTCTGATACTCCTTTATGAGCCCTGAAAGACACAGCCACTGACTTGATTTTTCAGTTCTCAGCCTAAGTACTTTCAGCTGTAATACTTTCAGTTTTGCTTCAGCCAGGGAACTGGTTGACCATTGCTAAGCAGGGAGACAGGGCATTTAAGAATTACGTTCTGGACTTAGCAGTCCTGAATTCCAGGGCACCTCAAAATTTTCCACAACTGAGGTAAGAGATGCTACAACTTCCTTTACAAATAGATGCAACTAACTAGAAAGCTGATTTTAAACATGTTAGATAAAGGCAGAACATAAACATTAACAATTTCCACTGGTCATTTTTTAACCTCTCTCTATTTTGGTACCCAACACTAGCTGGTCTAAATACAAAAGACCTATGTTGGCTATGTGATGAAAAGGTTCCACAGCTTCTCTAATGAGTTTCTATCCTTGTGTGCTTCCAATTCTTTCATCAGATAAACCCAAACTATCAATTAAGACTGCCAAAGTCATGAGTCAGTAATCTATTAAGTCCCTCCAAAAGCACCTCCAAGGACTTAATGCCTCCCTGTAGAAGAAGAACTTGCATAACAGTGTATTACATTTCAAAGCCTTTGTTGGGTCATACAAATTCCAGTGTACTTCAGTTGCGTAGAAGCAAACAGGATTGCTGAAAGATTGACACAGAAAACCGTTTCCTTTTCAGCTCTCCTTAAGTTATCACTGTAGCCCTCTATTAAGGACAGTAGCCCAAATATCACCTTTTTTGCATGATCAGAGTCTCTTTGGTTCTTCCACTTTGCCAGGAATTAGAAAAGATAGAGGCTCATCACAATGGTCCAAGTAGTGTTGTTTCATTCAATAGCACATTTAGTCCTGAACAAAATCTGTCAGTGTTCAGGCAGACAATGTTCTTTGGGTAAATCCAATATCTTTTATTAGACCAACACAAATTGGAAAAATTCTTCTTTGCAAGCCTTTGGGTATAAATACCCATCCAGAAAGAGCACAGACCAACTGCAGACTGTTTCCTCAGCCTGATGAAGGGTATTTGTACTGAAAAGCTTGTACCCGAAATCCCCAACACTTCCTTGATTGCCTGTGCACTGATGTATTGTCCTCCCAGCAGATGTCAATGCGACTGAAGTCCCCCATAAGCACCAGGGCCTGTGATCAGGAAACTTCTGCTAGCTGTTTGAAGAAAGCCTCATCCATCACTTCCTCCTGGTCTGGTGGTCTATAGTAGACCCCTAGCACAATATCACCCTTGCTGCTTTCCCTTCTGACCCTAACTCAGAGACTCTCAACAGGCCTATCTCCAGCTTCATACTGGAGCTCTGAGCAATCAAAGAGATGAAATAAAGGTGGAAAGAAAGACAAAAATTATATATATAGGTTTTAATGATTTACCAATCAGCAGTTTTAGAGCTCACTTGGAGTTTGTTTCCCCCTCTTCCCTTTAAGAAAATATTAACAACTTAAAAGATGGTTTCCAATCAACGGAGTCATAACTTTGTCTGGAATTAAGAAAATAAAGCCCAAAGCCCTAAACTTAACTCAGTAGCCCCTGTTACCAACATTTTGAGCTCTATACTTGAACTGAGTCAAAAGGCCAATTCTTTACCACGCCGGAACTATGCCCTTTGGATCCTTCACTTCATTACATGGACAAGTAGAATCGAGTCCACAAGCAGTTAGATATTCTCTTCCTCTAACTCCTATCCTAAGCAGACAAAATACCCCTCCAATGCAGATTTCAGAATACTGTTCTTCAAGAAGAAAATATGACAGTTGTTCACTGCAGTGAAGTTTCTATGGCAGTTGTGTGACTGCAAGAAGAATAGGTACATTTTTTATACAGCTATGATTAAAATACTACAACACAGCACTGCTTTTGCTAAGATGGCGATTTAATTCCTTTGTTTAATATGAAATATTAATAATTATCAAGCAAGACTTTGGATTTCCGCAATCAGAATGTAAAGATAAATTTTATAACTGTACCAGGAAAACAATTAATAGGAACAAAGCAACGTTTGTTTCATGTAACAACCAGCCACAGAGAGAGACATCTTGAAGGATATTCCAGAGGGCATGCATTACATTTTACCTATTCACCTATCTATAACAGTGCCATACATTTACCTAGCGGGATGATCAAAAACCTCATGTAGCTGAGCCAGTCTGGGGTTTTGTGAGACAGCTGCTCTACAAAGAGTCTCAATACAGCACTGAGGTAATTCTGGGCTCCAGCCACTGCAATTTTAATTGGATTTGGAGGTTGAGAATTGCAGTTACAGCTAGATAGAGGAAAAAGAGAGAGAGAAAACATTCAATTGTCTTCTAAAATATCTATGTTAGAGTAAATCAAGCAGGTTGCCAAGTATAAGCAATCCAGTTTATAACTGCCAGACAGTAAAGCGCAATTATTCAAATGCATACAACAATCTCAGGTGATAATATACAGGTTAGCCCCATCTGGGCACCCCATTTATCCCAGCAGCCTATGGGACCACTAAGAGGGTTAGTAAGACAAGCAATGCTGCATTTGCAATATGCCTTTTTTTTTTGCGCCCCCTCTGTCCCTTTCAACTTAGATGAGGAATGCTTTATGGAATGGCAAGGCCAAACTAGAGCAGCACTGGTCAGACAGTGGCTGTTACCAGGAAGAGTTATAGGAATGCACTCAGTTAAGATGACATCTATTCTCCACCAGTAAGTGACCCACATTAACAGGCCTAGAGTGGTACGAGGTCCTCAGTTTCTCCTGGAAATTTTTACAACAGAGACCAGGATGGCTATCTTGACCCAGACAGGAATTTGCTGCATCTTCTATAAACTGTTGGCTTTGCTATTGTTATCTATTTGTACCACATCTTAAGGTTAGATTACTTCAGTTTTTGCATAGTTATGAGGCGTAAGCTCACATAGTATTAATTAGAAAAGAAGCTTGCAGTCCACTCATCGCTGCGTTTCTGCTGTTTAGGAACATAAGTGTTCTGAGATATACACTCACTGCTTGTTGACTTCTGGAGGGGCTTCAAAAGGAATAAGTCCTGGGCCATAAAACCTAATTCACCTGGCAACTGACTATCAAAGACACCTGTCTATTGCTAGTGATCTCACACCTGAGGTTAGCAGACATACTTGGTTTTAGAATCTCCCAGAGCAGAAGAGGATATCTCATTTGGGCAGGATATTCTGCAAAACCCCTCAGGCTGTGAGAACACACTTCTCTCCTTGATCTAAAATGGCTTAGATCTCTCAATATCCAGAACATACTCCAGAGATTATCCAGTTGCTAGGTCTCTGGGACCTGGATGAGACCTAGATGGACGGTATCTCTCAGCTATACACATTACTAGTTAGAACACTCATTTCTTTTATGGCATGAGGGTTAATTAAGCATATGTTACCTGGATTACTTTAAAGGAATTGCAATGTTTGGAGCTAGGAAATAAACATTTTTCTATTGCATGTGGAAAGACAGCTAAGACGACAGAAACCCCACAACTTACTATCTTTGTATCCTGGAGACTATGGTGCTGAAAGCCGCCTGAATATCAGCAGAAGAGCATGTGCAGACTACAGGGAGGGTATGTTTTTGCAACACATCTGAGAGGTACTGGGAAAACAAGAAAACAGGTTAAGAGCTCTGCCAAAAAGGACCAGATTTCCCTGAAACACCTTGTCCACTAGTAGCAGCAGGCCTCTCGTAGGAGAAATCTCTGCATCTTACTAGCTGGCCCTGTGACTGCCCTCTAAAGATGCTCCAATTCTACCCCAGCAGGGGGTCTCAAAACAGACATCATCAGATGTTTCATAACATGTCCCTCGGGAGTAGGGACAGCTGTGGAATTTCAGGGCAGGTCTCTAACTGACGCTGTTTTTTCTCTGCCCCTCCCTTCCCCCAACCTCCAGGACATCAAAAGACTCCTTACACAGAATAAGCCAATTAATTTTTCTGCTACATAAGCAGAGTGACCTCGCTCCTATGCTCCCCACAAAGACTGTTGCTGATCATAAAATACAAGCCATCACAGACTCTGAACTACTACAGTTCCTTAAGATGTTAGTTTGAGGAATTAAAGCTGCATCACTGACATCCCCCTGCACTTCCCCAAATTTTAGAGGCGTTGGGGGGGGGGGGGGCGCCAATTTTGGAGGGGTTGGGGGGGGGGGGGGGGGTGTATGCACCACTACTTGACACCCATGCTGCTGAGGCTCCACCTCACAAACTGCCTTCAGCCTGTAACTCCTAAGCAAGCACTATACACCATCCCTCCCAGGATAATGCAAATCTGCATCATAGCTTCAGGGCTTGCCCATGTTAAGCGTGTTTCTGGAGAAGGAACATCAGCTTTTTAGTCTTTTGAAATGGTTATCCTGTCCTACCTTCCTCTCCTCTCCCACAGTCTACCTCACCAATCCTCATGCCTGGCTTACCCCAACATCCTGGTCAGCCCTGTCCAAGCAAACTGATAAGCATCAATGGAAAAAGTTTCATGACTCCTTTCCCTCAGTGTTTATAGCTCAGCCATGGTTCTGGTTAAATTCTCTACATCTGCCAGTCCCAGATGCCAATCTGCCTCAACGCTTTCAAACTTTTCCTACTTCCTGGAGGATTGGGGTGGAACTCTCCTTCCTCACCCAACGTCCCACAATGCCACAAGCAAGATCATGATTGCTGTACCAACCTTCTCCATAGAAAGGTCGATACTACACAAATTCTATTAACTACAGTCCACATAATCACACTTTAATTTTTTTATTTTTTTTTTTTTAACTTGCTATACCTATGAGAAGGGTGCCCAGTAGAATCTAGATTTTTTCATACTGGAATGATTCACACCCCACTTTATTTACAGAATTAAGGACAATTTGCTCAGCTGTTTGTGTTGCTTTTACTTCAAAGGGTGATGCTTCTCCATTCTGCAATGCAGTGGTCCTGTACAGCTGATCAGAGAAGCAGCAGACTTAATTCAAAGGCCACAGCAAACAGCTGGAGCACCTTAGTGGTCCCAAGAAACTGTTTGCTGTATATATCCCAAGTTAGCTTGCAAACTCTCATTCTCACAGGAGGTAAGGGATCCAACCTTGCAAAGAATATGGTTCGGTTGTATAATAACAATGAGCTGAAAAAGACAAACCAACCCTCTTGCCCAAATAATGTGCAGTAGTGTAGTAGCTCAGAAAGGCATTACAAATTTTAAGTCATGTATTGCACACTGAATTTTCAGGTCTAAGCCAGTATTCACAGACGTGCATGAAGTACTGGGTATAGCACTTCAAAGTTCTAAAAATAACAGGTTCCTTTTTGCATGTCTCACTTGTGCTCAGAAACTGTGCCCTAATGTTGAATTGAGCACTGACTTATTCAAAATGTGTTTGTATTTATGCTTATAGTAACAGATAGCTGAAGATAAATTTATCATCTGAATGACCCTTTCACTTCACCCCTACCAGGCACCTTCCCTGTCTCTCCACATTATTTTCCCATGTCAATTATTTTCCACACAAGAACTGTGTCCTTTGGATCTTTCACCTCACAACAGGGACAAGTAGAATCCGCGTCCAGAGGCAGTTAGACAGACTAACTCCTATCCTAGGCAAGAAACCAAATACCCCCCTCAATGCACCTTGCATTTCTTCAAAGTGTAATAGAGAGAAGAGCTCTTCAGCCATTTCCAGGGAGCAAAAAATTACCTAGTTTATTAATCAAAGAATATCATTTAAAAGAGGAGAAGGACGCAGGACTTCAGGAAAGGCTCACATTACTAGTCAAGGAAGCTCTTGGAGTTCTTCCACAAAAATAAATCTACCTGCAGCCACACCACCCAAATGCTGTCAATGCAGTTACTGGCCATCAACAGTACATAAAAAATACAACAACTTCAGGAAATAATTTGTTCAGTACATAAGCCAAAATCCTATTCTTTCTGCCCTGTATAAGGAAAGAAAGGGACTGACAACAGAAAAGGCCAGAGTTCAGGATCATTCTTTCTGCATTTCCCTGGCCCTGCCAGTCAGAAGTATTAACCAGAATAATATTTTCTGGCAGTTGGTCATCCGAAATCAGGATGTGATTCAACTGATCATACACAGTCTTCCTTGGGATCTGTAAAACAAAGAAAAAAAAGGAACAAAAGAGAATGAAGCATGGGGAAAAGCTGAATCCAACATCTGAGCCAATAGCTTTACAGAGGTCTTGGAAATACACTGGGTTTCACCAATCTTTGAATTTCATGCCAGATCAGAGCCAGTTACAGAAGCTGGGAGCTGAGTTGTATCATAACCCAAACTGAGAAGTGTCCCTGACACAATGGAATCTGCCTAGCAACTGTTGTTACTTTTAGGTTGGTACGTTCCATCGCCTCACTTAGCAGTTATTACAGTCCTGGCATAGTGGAACATCCCATTTGGTTTGCATGCCTGTGCCATGGTGGAAAATTCCATAGATCTGGTTTGATACATATGGCACAGGGAGAAAGTAGGTCACAGCAAAAAAGTAGGTCACAAAGGGAAAATTCCACTATGCCTGAACCCAGCAACCAAATGCTACAGTAGTGGAAAATCACAGCTTTAGAAAAAGTTCCCGCCAACTTCATGCAAATACACACACCACAATTGGCCGGTTCCAAATTATTCATATTAGTGACTAGCGATTGGCTTATTAGTCATATAAAAGGTAAATCAGTTTCCGCCCACAGCGGAGAACTCGGAGAACTGGGAGAACTCATATCTCGCCAGCTTAGCACATTGGAGAGCTCCGCATATCTTTCCAGCTTGGAGAACTCTGTCTCCACGTTGGAGAACTCCGCATACCTCGGAGTAGGGGAATTAAACCCAGCACACACCGAACGTATCTCAGAGTGAACCTGGACTGATTACACCTCGGAGAAGGAGAACTCAGAGAGCGAACTCGGAGGGCTTGAACTCCATACATCTCTGAGGAAACCTAGTGGACTGATCATCCACCAGTGACTCCCCGTCACTGACCTTCTCGACGTACCCCATACCTTGCTAGCTAGCTCCTTCCGTCTTTGCAACTGGAATTACAGTTCAAGTCAGCATTCAGCCTACCTGTATTGTATCATCTACAGTGTAAGTAAAGCAATCTTTGTTTAACCAGTACGCTTCGGTGCCTAGTTCCTCTCCGTCTGTCAAAAAGTACCCACCTGCCATTTCGGGCTACTGGCCGTAGCCCTGGCCTACCACCTCGGCTACCACAAGTTGTATGCTAAGGGAGACACCCACAGATCTCCCCAAAGCCACAGTATTCTACCTAGTCTCTGGATGACTTTTCTTTGCTTTGAGGGGTTCAGTAGTTATTTTTCTGTCCTGTCCTTCTTTGCGGTTTTTTGGGTTTCTTTGTTTTGTTTTTTTACTAGACACTGAAATGCTTCGGAGGCTCTATTTTTAAATAATAAGTGGCAATTATTTTTCTCTCTCATTAGGACCAATGTTAACCAGAGTCCTGTGGCTGAAAAAGGGTCTGAGGCATGGAGGTGCTCTGCTGGGAACACTCCATTTTGCTTTCTCCTCCTAGAGCATCTCATCGATTCCCTTTATTTCACTTGCTTTTTTTTTTTCCCTCTCAGGGGGTCTCAAATGTCATTTGTTTCTTATTGCTGTAATTTGCCCTGGTGTTTTTCAGCCCAGTGCTAGTGGATCTAAAACAATTAATTAATGCAAGGCAGGAATGTGGGGTGGAGGAGGGAGTGGGAGAATGGCCCATCCCCCACCTTGGAGCAGCAGAGCCAGGCTTATATCCAACAGGCAAGGACAGGGCTGGGTAAGGAGTGATGAGCAGGATGCTGTAGGGCACGTTTTGGGAAGAGACGAATAGTGGAAGGCTGGGGAAGAGGTAGAGGTCATCTCTCACCTGCAAGTGGTGCCTGGTATCTGGTGAGCGCTCATTGTCCAAGCTGTTTGCTCTTTCGTTCTGTGGCCTCACTGGTTGCCTTTCCTTCAAAGAAGTGCTTCTCCCCCGACGGCCAGCTTGCTTCCCTTCTGGCCTGCTAAACGACAGCAGCAGCAGCACAGTCACCTTTCTGTTAGGGCAGCAGAAAACCTGTTTGCCAGAAGCATTTTCCTGAGCTGCAAAGAAGGTGCTTCTGTGCAGTGTGTTCAGGTAAGACTTTTTGGAGTGTAAGCAGCCCTTTCACGTCCTTCCCCTGAAAGAGACTGCACTCTTGATTCTAGGTTAGCCTACACTGCTGAGGCAGGACTGTAGTACAGATGGGCATAACACCAGCTGGTTTTGATCTAGTTTAGGTACCACTAGGACTGCCTCTTTAGCAGCCCAGGATTCAGCTGCTGGGTACATATCCAGGGTCCTGCTTGGGCTTGGCAGTCCAGGCTGAAGCCTATGCTGCCAGCTCTACACTGCAGTCGGCACTGGAGCTCCTACCTTAAAGTTAACTGGGGTGTGCCTATAGAAGCTGCACTTCCAAAGCCAAGGGAGTTTGCCTACCTTATCACACAAACAACTATGCACTTTGCTTAGAAAAAGACCCACCACCAGAAATGATGGTGAAATCCAAGCTGGTTCTTCTGTCCCTAGCAACTCTGAACTACCCTGTTAGACAAACAGCAGCTAAACCTATCACTTAAAAACTCACTGTGTGAAAATGCAATGTTGACAAACAGCTTTGGATAAACAGCCTTGTAGCCTAAAGTCTCCATTAGTCACAGACTAGGCACAATATAGGAAGCAGCAATTCAAACTACCACACACTGCACTGCAAAAAAGCATCACCCAACTTGCAAAGACAAGAACTAGACTAGATGACCTCCTGAGGTTCCTTTCAGCCCTATGATACCGTCATACCATCACACCTCTGGATAGGAAAGGCAAGTTCAAATTCCCAGATATGCTCTATTCTTAGCATCTTTTCTAAGGCTGCTAACAAAAATGCCAGTTGGCACCCACTGGTTTAAATTTATAGATGGTGCTCATCCAATTAAGCTGCAATATCAAAAAAGCATTTAATCAAATAACGTCAATTAAGTGGCCTTGACCTCCACAGAAGAAAAGCCCAATGAAGCCTATGACATCCACCTGCCTAGAACTGGAGGGTGAAGCAGCCTCTTACTTCACTGTATACAACAGGGCTGCCACTACTACCTGTCAGCTGGCATTCACACCCACAGAATGTGGGAGAGCACCTATGCTCCAAGAGTCAGGAGGGACACGACCATTAGACCTAAGGGTCAGGCTTCTCTCAGACCTGACTACAGTGGAACCCACTTAATTTAGTATCCTGTGGTAAATTAAGGGCAAGACACTCAACTCAGCTGTTTGCTACAGCTTTTACTTCAGAAGGACACCATTTCTCCACTGAGCTAGAGCATAGCTTTGGTCCCCTGCAGCTGAGGAGAAATAAAAGCCACAGCAAACGGCTGGAGCACCTCAGCAATCCCACAAAGCTGCTTGCTGCAGTCCTGCCTACCCCCAGAGACTTCATAAACCCTCGTCTCTGCATGGAGGATAGAAACCCAACCCAAAGCAATTGTAATAATTTTGGACATTCAACCTGCAGCCCTTCAAAAGGAGTCTGGGTTTGCGTTTCAGGGAATGACTCCAATTCTTGATTCCCTGAACCTTGCATCTGCACCTTGTTTTCTAATCTAACCTCCAATTCCCATCTCAAGAGTCTATAGGGCTGGCAGAAGAAGCTCGAGAGACTCCTCTCTCCTTCCTTTAGCCCCACCTATCTATGTTGGCAGTGGCAATCCCTCGATCTGAGGATGATCTTTACCATAACTCATTGATGAGTCTTAAGGCGATTTGTTCCATCCATCTATGGTCACCTTCATGTCCCCTCAAAGACCTGAAGTCAGGATGGCTGGCTGAGACAAGGAGGTACAGAGGGGAGCCCAGCAGTCCCAACTCTATAGACTTCATCGTCTGACAAAGGAGACATTCTTGCCTGATCCAATGGTTAAAGACACTAGCATTGGTGATGTGTAGGGGGTGCATGCAGGCGCACATGCACCCTGAGATTGGTGGTACACCCCTTGAAAGAAGCACCGCCGATGTTGTGGGAGGTGCCTGCAGGCAGTCAGTGCTCACCACCCCTTCACCCTGGCCACCACCACCGTTGCGGTCACCTGCAGGAGCTCCCCACCACCATGCCACCACCTCCTGTGGGCAGTCACCATGCCCCCCCCAGCCTCCAGGGGCACGTGCTGTTCATGGACACTAGCCTAGAACTTCAGTCCCCTGGGTTTAGTTCCATGCTTTGCCACAAACTCAATGGGACATGCCAAAGGTCACATAATGCTTCCGTTCCCCATCTGTACAACAGGGTAATGGCAAAACATCACAAGGCGTTGGGTAGATAAATGCATTAAGAATGTGAGCTGCACAGAGACTATAGTAATGGGAACCACTCTAGAGCCTAAAGGTAAGTTGTCCTTGCTGAATAAACACAAAGGGACACAGTCTGGAAGATGAAGAACAGCCTTGTCATCCCATGGTATCTGACAGCTACCATGTCTGCTGTCACTGCTATTCATGGAAGTTACCTGGTGGAAGGGATAATGAGGGACTCCGTCTTTGTGATTTTTCCACTAGGTGGGAGCTTCTCGATGAAGACATCTGACATGGGGAGGTCAGCCTCCTGGGTCTCCACTTGCTGATTTGACTCCTATGAACAGACATACCAATGCAAAGAGCCCTATGAAATCATCTTTTTTTTTTTCCCCCTTCCATCACCACTGTGGTGACTGGCCAGTACACCTACCAGGCCTGTCCAGATCAGCTAATTGCACCATCCCCTTAAGAGATGTTGGCAGGTAGCTGTGGTTGATGGGAAAAGGGCATGTCCTACCTCTCCCCACACCTGCTGGTTCCAGACAGGTAATTCAGAAAGGGGAGAGGCTTTTTGCAAGGAGAAAACTGCACCAAGGACAGAGGGATTTTTGCCAACATCAATCAGTGAGGGAACAAATGAATGACTTCAGAGGGGGGCAAAAGATTCTAGCTCCCTGCAAAGGGTGCAGAATCTGTTCTCTCCTAGGACAAGACACCTGTGTAGGGGATGCATGCAGAGGACTGCACTGAAGTCTCTGGAGTTCTCCAGAGGTGTCCTTGTAAAGAAACAAATAGAATGCAAGAAATGCTAGGTTAAAATTGGAAATCCACTCTCCATTGAAAGACTGGAGCATACATGCTCTTCCCTTAAATTAGGAATTTCTGTCACACTGAAGACGACACAGAAGACAAGGCCAACTAGCAAAAATAGGGACAAATCTTTTGGCAAAATCCCCGGCTAACACCAACAGGAATTGCCTAAAACTAGCTAAAATACTGGCAGCTGGTTTTAAACCTATTATCTTTCCAAGCTGGTTAGGAGAGGAGGCCTGGTGAATTCTGCTCACAGCAGTTAGAGAGCATACTCTTAAAGACTGGAAGCTTATTCAGCCTCTCCCAACCTGTCCTAACTGAGAGGTCTGGTTTTTCTCTCCACTAAAGCTGCAAAGTTACTTACATTGGCTAAAAGAAAATATTCATAAGAGAGGACCATAAAAGACGACCATTAAGAGGACATAGGACTGTAAGAAACAAAGCTTTCCATGTCAATAGCAAATCAAGGGCCAAGGGTTTTGCATTTCATAAAAAATTGCAAAAATGATTTGCAGCCTTCACAGGACATTTCAGGGATCTAATTATGTATGAATTTAACAGAGCACCAGAACTACGAAACAAAGGCCTGGAATTCTAAAAATTCAGTGTTCTCTCTCATCAACAGTTCAGTCACATTACATGCATCTGAAATGGGCTATAAATAGAAATCAATCACCTTCATGTTTTATTGAGCAAGGGAAATAGTACTGCTGCTGAGGCCAACCACCAGAAGAAACTCCTTAGCTCTACAAAGTTTCTGAATTTCAGTATTCAATATCAAAGAGACATCACAACCTTAATGCTAATTTTTTGGTTCCTCATTCATTCCCCTTGGCAAAAGAAACAAAGACACAAAGATTTTTCTAAAAGTAACTAGTGATTTTGGGTAGCAATGTGCAGCCCCTTAGGGAAGCTCTCATTTTCAGAGAGACTGGCCTCCCAGAGGTGGACAAATCCCAGACAGTGCATCCAAATACTGAAACTACCAGGATGAACATCACAGAACGAGTTTTGAAACTTACGTAAGACACAGTGTCAGAGATGCTGTTGCTTGGATGCTTGCTTCCAAGACTCTTTGCTTTTTCAGGCACTTCTACCTGCTTTGAAAGAGACAGCAGTCAGAAAGCATAGTGTGTGCATGCAAGCATGCAATGCTTCCAGTAGAGATGCATTTTGCAGCTGCTGCTTCCAGGACATAGTTTATAACGCAGAGTTGTTGGGTAGTATTTATACAAGAACTGGAGTGCTTCCTTTTATGAAGGTGTAACCTTACCAAATCCTTGGCTAAAGAACTCAAAACTGAAACATCTGCAGGTAATAAGAGAAATTTAATGGAAATAAGCAATTTTAAAGCACTGAAAGATGAAGTTGTAATGCAAGAGAACCTGGCAAACAGCAACAGACAACATTCCCATTCCTGCAGAGATTCAGATACCCTCAGAGCTATTTGCAACAGTTTTCATATCACAGTATTACCCTGGAGTTAAACACTAAACACTTCCAGAGATTACACACCTCCATGTAATGGAAACGTTATCCCAGGGCTCTGCCAACTCCACTAGTTTCTTGAATACTCCTGGATCAAACTCAACATCCTGTTCTTAAGTAAGGTCCTTAATGGACTAAGACCTGCCTCTCTGAGAATTCAGTCTCTAAATAGAGATTTAAAACCCAAGGGCATTTATATACATACATTTTCATGCCTCCGGCGCATTGGAACAGACTCGATTAATTAAGTCTGCTCTACACACGAGCTGATGCGCATGATGCCGCATTGCTTGCAGTTGTATAAGTGGCAAAGTGCATGTTGGTGTGGAGAAAACGGCAGCAGTGCACTCCTGAACTAACACCTTCTATGTGTTTTAGTTCAAAAGTGGACTGTCGCCATTTTCTGCGTGCTGAGGCGCATTTCACCGCTTGCACAACTGCAAGCAACAAAGTGCCCGGTGCTGTGGCACTTACATGTGTAAAGATGCCCTAAAACTGGATCAAAATAATATCCCTGACTAATAAGCAAAGCATAACATGATATACACCAAGGCAGGCAGTTTCAAGCTCTGCCTATGGAAGTCAAGGAATTATCTTGAAATAGGAATGGGACCTACTTCCAAATTTACTTCAGATGGTTCTCTTTCCTCTGCGCAACCCCATCCCCAAGGGGACAAATGGGGCATGCACTACTCCAGAAGACATTGCTACAGGAATGTTTTCAACTATACTCCTCTGCTGTGAAGATGCCTTCCTGCAAGGATCAAAGGTTCCTACCATATGAGTTTGTTCACACTACACACAGGGAATGCTACCTGTTTTTCTTAAATGTGGAATTGAATCTAGGCTCATTTACTCCCCTGGAGGTTTATTACAACATGTGCAATACATTTACATTAATGCTGCAGCAACCTCAGCATGTGAATCTGCTTCCCCACTGCCAGAAAAGAACAAAAAAACCCCAACTATCGAACCTTCTTTCCTTGACATGGCGGTCATTTCGCCTAGCATTTTGTTATACACATAGAATGACAGCACAGCACAAGCTTCAAGGCTAAGAACATTTGGCTACATGGCAGGTTGATCTTTTTCACTGACATGTTAATTTACAATGCAACAACGCTGTTCAGGTGGACACAGTAATCCCTGCTGTTTATTGTACTATCACCTGCAGATAAATAGTACTATCACCTGTAGATAAATACTACCCTAGAAATATGACTTACAGGACTGGAGGGCTCTCTCTGGCTCCGGACACTGTGGATGCTACCAATTTCTGTCTGGGAGCTGGAGTGTGACAGGCCTTCAAAGTAAGGTCTAAAACAAAATGAGCAGAAAACATGATGATGCACTTTTGAGATGTTTGTGGCCAGGACTGCAGCATCAAGTCATGCAAAGGCACTCAGTTTTTGGATGGTCTCACGGGTTTAAGTGGGGTTTGTTAGCACTTCCCACTTGGGTTGATGGGATCATGGAAAAGAAAGATTACTAGGAATGGGAGTCAGAATACATGTTTTCCCCTTACTCTGTCACTGAGCCACTGCAGGACCTAGTAGGGCTGTTCTTACAATGGGTGCTTATTTACAAAGCACGGGGGTGGGAAAGCCAGCTCTATCCTCTCCTTCCTTCTCTCTCCTTACATGTCCACACCTGTCTTCACCTTGCAACAGGCCATGTTGGTGACATCAGCCCTCCCTGAATTCACTCTGTTCCAAATCCTCCTCAAAGACAATCTATCATGTTTGTCCCTACTGCACCTTCCCTCACCATCCTCTTCTCCCTCTATCAAGGTGATCACAGCTCACCACTACCTGCCCCAGCCTCCATTCTCAGTGTGTATTTAGCAAACCTAGGGATCCTTAACCATGCTTCTCTCTGGCGTTCTCCTTCCCACCCTGAATTATTTACCAGGAAGAGTGTGTGACCTTTGGTGGGGGAAAGGGTGGGGAGGGAGGGATATGGAGAAACTGCCTCTTTTCCTTCCTTGTAACTCACAAGTCCTCTCCTTCATGATCTCCTTCTTCCTTTGATGTTTGTACTACGTGGTTGTAACCACTACTCCTTTACCTGGATATTCCTAAACATCCTTTCCCTCCAAGAGAATTCTGACTCTTATCCCCTCTCCCCCAAATACCTTATTCTTGGAAAGCCTCTTTCCTCTCTTACATTGGTGTCCCAAAGCCACACTGAGAACTAGGTCAAGTCAGCCTGCACCAAGTAACATGCTGCTCTGGCTAGACTACTATCATATGAACTACTACTTCAGACCTAGTTGGGTATTTCTATGCTCCACTGCAGTGCAAATTCCCTGTTCTCACTACTACTCTCTCCTGCTCCTTTATGCTTCTCCCAATCCTGTGCCTGAAACTCTGGTTCCTCCTGGAGACAGTCTAAAAATGGCAGAGACTTTGCTCTACTACAGATATAAGAGATGTTAAGGCAAGCAGGAACTATCACAACAGGATATATTCATTTAAGAACACAAGCTTCAATCATGATCCCATACATACAATCACCAAATTGAAATAAAATCTATTTTAATTTTTTTTCATACAAACTTTGGGTAAGTAACTAAAAGTTCATTCTTGCTGTTTAGCATGACGGTTAGAACATGACAAGTGGATAGGTTATATATGCCTACAGCTTTTATACAAGATTCTGCCATTTTCGTGAACGAAGCAGAGAAGCTGTAACTATGCACATAAATGCATTTCTACTGCTTAATCTAGATTTATTCAGATCCTTGATTTCTAGCCTTTTTCACTCTGTTATAACATGGTATATAAATCCTGATTAATCATTTAGTAAGTCAGAAATCCTTGAATGAAAATTGGAATTTTGAAGAACACAAAGACACATTCAGACATTAAATGCTTCTTCTAAGAATGGTTTGCTTGAATTTTAATTCTGAATTTAAAAACTTTTATATGCTTCACAGATGTGTCTGTTAATTTGTTTTTCTTACAGAGTCAGAAAGAGTGGCTACATCCTACATTCAAGTGCATTGTTATCTGAAAGAACATGGTAGTTTTTAATTGGAAAATACCATATTCTCTCTCAGCATTACTTTCTGAAGTCTACCCTAGGAGCTACACTCTGAAAGACATCAGATGGTTGACAAATCAACCACAGAAGTAAACCAAGCATTTCTGCTAACCTGAAACCAAAGCTAAATTAATGCAAAACCCCTGGGCACAACAAAACCAGGAATACAGATGTTCTGACAAATACATTCACTCTATTAAAAAAGATACAGCTATGTAATGTAGTAGATGACAAGGTGCCATATCTATAATGCATGACCTAAAAGGTTAAAGAAGCTTGCCTTGAGTTTTTATAAGAGAAGTTTTTAAAATTAATTAAATTGAGAAGAGGTCACTGGTTTAACATTTTCTTCCAAATGATTAACAAATTAAAAATGCATTTGAACTTGACAAATTTTTTTAAATCATGATATTTTTCCACTTTCTATAAAATTCTTCTGGTTTGACCCCCTGTGAGGACCAATGACAGAACTTCATGCTTTAGGCCTGCATCAAGCCCCATCACTTGTGAATGAGCTACAATATTCAGTAATCTGCTTTGATGGTTAAAAGTATCTTTGGTGTTAAAAAAAAAAAAAAAAGCACCTCATCTCCTTTGATTTCCAGCCATTGCTTCCCATGTGCCTTTTGGTATGTTAAAAAGGGACCCTCTCATCAAATATTCTCCCCAAGTAGAAACTTGGTTTACCAAAACATTAAGATGAGATGCAGTGATGGTTTCTGGGACTGAGCTGCTTTAGTTTTACTTGAGGTATATTTCCTGCAAAAGTCAGCTCTAGACATATACCAAGTTTTTAACATCCTCTTAAAGGTAGGTTTCCAGTTCTGGTATGAACAATACTGCAAAAGTGGTCTCCAAACACTTCATGTAGACACAGTATCTTCTTCCACTTAAACCAAGTGTTGGCAACATTTTGGGTAGAGTGTCAAAAACACCTGCATCCTCAACTAGCAAAACACTGGCATACTAGGGATGGATGGTGGGGGGAGCCAGAAGAAGCCTGACCCTTGTTGTGGCAGTGCAGCCCCAGCTCCAAGGCACATGTGCCAAGCAAAATGCCTCTGCGTGCCTACTCCCAATTTAAACAATATTTCACTATTCATATACTAGGACAAAACTGGTCTCTTAAATCACCGCACCACTCAACTAAGCACAAGACCTCAAGGGATCTACCACTGCCCCATCATCCTTTCCAGTCATGTTTCCATGATTCAGTGCCCCAATCTTTAAGGGTTTAGGTTCCAAAATGCAAAACCTAGTATTTGATTACATTAAAGATGTATATCCAGCTGCTCCAGATTATTAAATGATCTGCATTTCGCTATAAGCAGTCAAGTCATTTACCACCCCAACTCTGATTTGCTTTCATGAAAACACTTGACACAAACTACCTAGTTCAAAAAGCTACCAGGGGTCCATCTTCATAAGCTATAGTCACATCTTCTTCACCATTTACCAAATGCTTCTGCCTCATTACTTTCCACAATACCATTTGCTCATTGCCTGCTTTTGATCTCCTGTTGAAAACCTTCCTCCCAGATAAGGCCTCTCCAGCTGTTTTGAAGAAAAACTGACATGTGTCTTAGCCCCTCTCCTCCCTGAGATCAAATCTGCCACTCTTTTTAGTGCCTCTCTCTTCCTCTTCCCATGCAGGGGGAAGTGATGCGTTTATATGGCTCTCAGTTCCCCTTATTGTCAGTAGATATTTTGGCACATCAGGCAAAAGTCTAAACAGACAATGTAGATCCATCCTGCATTTGGCACATTATGGAAAAGACCTGAAAGAGCATTTAATAGGCTCTAGGGAGAGAAGGGCTGTCAGGCATAAGACATATAACTCTCTTCTATTCAAGTCTTTCAAGCTGTGATTACAATAAGTGCTGCTCTCTATTGTCACATCAAGGAGGAAAAGATAGAAGTATGAATGGCACACATGTGACCTGCAGCTATAAGCTGTATAGAAGTGGGTTGAATCCTTATCCTTCCCCTTCTTTACTCTCAGATTCCAAATGCCTGACAGGAAGTGGATGCTGAGAAGCATTTAGTTAAACTGCTCAATCTCTGGACCAATTGATTTCTCTTGTAGCAAAGCTATACCAAATTTTTACTAGACATTCACGCCCCCCCCCATACTTACTTTAACTTTGGTTTAGGAGTGCTGAGGACGCTATCATCGTCTTCCATTTCAGGACCACTGTCACTGGGGTTTTCAATATCCAGTGTATCATACAGAAGGTCCAAGTCTTCCTCAGCTTCTGGGATGTGCTCTGCTGGGTCCTGCTCTGAATCCAGAACCTAAGCATAGAACATATGGATAAAACAAGGCATTGCTTTAATAGCTAGAAGACTGATTCCACACCTCTATTCACACAGTTACTGCAGTGCGGGAGGTTGGTATTTCGGGTTGATAACCAAAGTCAGGCACCTTTCACAGACCAATTCTGGGGCCATGCTCTGTATGTGGGTTTCTTTTTTAGTTTGTAGAGATTAATGCCAATTTTAAACATGTTCAAAAAAATGAGCAATGCATTCAGTAAATGGTTAAGCATGGTTAGTAAAAAAGTATGGTTAAGGAACTGATTTACCTGAGAGCTTAAAGATGCATAGAAAACACTATAACTTATTACAATATCGGTTCACTACGTTTATAAACATAACAGAATATTCGAAAGTGGGTCCCACTATCAGAAGTGGAACATGTAGGCACTTTGTCCTCTCAAGAGCATAACCCAACCTTCACCAGATGACTGCAGCTCCTTCTGACTAAGTTCACTGTTTTATCTGCAAACTGGACAAGGATCTAACACAAACTCATGAGCTTCCTTTCATATGCAGGACCAAAAGGAATTGACAGCACTTGTTAAAATAAAGCAAGTACACTTCCGAGGACCTTATTTGGCCTCTTCCTAAGAGCAACTGTACAGTCCAAGCTGCTGTGTTGCGTCTGCTTTTTTTCAAAGTAAGTTTCTTAGTCTTCTGTATTTTTCTTCAAATGGTCTAATTTTTCATTATATACATATTTGGTAGATGATTCCATGAAAACTCTGCATAGTCCATTCAACTTTTATAGTATGAAGAAAACAAGCTGCAACCAAACTTAATAAGCATAAAAGGTCTTTAAAAGGGTCACATATGCATGCACTAGTTTGTGATCATAAGGCTAAGAACAGACATCTGTGGCATTAGGGGGAAATTAAACAGATTCAAAATGGATGCCTGGTATCAGGAAAATCAAGATGGGAAGGGCTAGTGAGGCGGTTGGGGGTCCGCCAGGGGATTGGGAGCAGGCATGAACTGGGGGGGACAGGGGGGAGTCTGGTGGGGTCACCCCCCAGCAAATCTACACCCCCCCCTCCCGCCACTGGGACTTACCTGCTTGGCTCCAACAGCAGCAAACATTGATAAAAGCAGCTGTGCCCAGAGTGGCTTGTATGACGGGTTGAGAGGGCTAACTGGGGGATGGGGCAGGGGGTTGGGGAGCAGACCAAAAAAATCCCCAAAAACAGACCAATGCATGGGGGAAGGGAGGGGGGGAGTGAAAAGAGCAGCCCCAGGGCTGGGGCCAGTGGCTGGGTTTTCCCAGCCCTGGGGTTGCCCAAGGGAAGTGGCCAGAAGTTCCATGCACCAGATTAACCTAAATCTAATTAATCTGATACTACAAAGATCCAGGTTCATTTTAAACCAGGTTCTACAATTTTTAAACTGGTTTGTGTGGATGGAATCTCTATACAGTTACAGGTTTAGACAGATTTCCAGGCACTGAGACTGGGTCTGTAAGTGTAAGATCAGCACCAAGACAAGCTAAGTTTAAATTGGGCAGCCACTTGAAACCCAATTTGAACCTGATTGAACCTCCCCAAACGTCTGTACTTAGCCTAAAGTGTTTGCTGAGATCTGTTAGCAAAAATGCATGCCAGTTGTATGCCACTTTTGATGGCATTTTAAAAATTAGTCCCCAGGCAGCCATATACAGGAGCCAAGTAGAACAATAGCATTTAGGCCAAGGTCTCTTGCGATCTTGGGACACTTCCAATTGCATGATTAAAAACAAAAATGGAAGCAAGAAAAAAAGAGAGCGCAAATTTAAAAAAATGCAGGAAATAAGCCAATTAAGCAAAATACCATCAAAAGCAGTTTAAAAAAATTGCAGTGTAAATGTGCATTTCCTCACTTACTTCATCAGACACTTTGAACCTTCTCAGCAACGCCACCACTTTCTGTTTGAAGTTTTGTTGCTGTAAGTCAAAAAACACTTCTATGTGAATATGGCATGAGTAAATAAATAAATAAAATCCCTTGCTGGTGGCCAGCAGCACCACCACATTTAAAGCAGCTGTACCAAAGCAACATCCTCCAAGCAGTTGAACTACACTCCAAACCAAGGAGTACTGCTGCTTTTCCTTGTAAGATGTATATCACTTACCAAACAGAGCAGGATCCCATTCTAAATAAGGGGACATGACATCCTGGGTTTGCACCAGCTTAGTCCCAGCCCTTATAGCTCAACTGGCTCCCAAATGCACTTGGCCAGCCTTGTGTTTATGTATTTAGTGGAAAGCCCCAAACTTTAGCCTGCCAGTTAGTCACAAGCTGACTAAGGGCTTGCTATAAACTAATCAGCTAGATACAGCAGGCCCTTCTTCTGCCTTCTTATGTACCTACATGAGCCAAAGAAGTAGTTTTGCTTGGTTCCAGGGTACAGATATAAGGGAACAATGCTTTCTCTCAGTAATCAGTTATTTCTTTACGCTAAGTCTTAATTGAGGGAGGCTCCCCCTTTCCTCTCCCTCTCAAGTGGATGACTAGAAAGCCATTTCCATAGCAAGGATCTGTAGTTCATTACGGCTTTACAAGAAGAGCTGTAGCAAACTTGGAGGGACTGAAAAGATGTTTTTTGGTTTGGCTGAGCTTCAATGTCAGTGTTCATAGAATCATAAAAAGAAGTAGGGCCAGAAGGGACCTCCACAGACATCCAGTCCAACCTCCTCCTATATACACGTGCTGCTGACTCAAATCATTAAAACTCCAAGTGCTGAGTTTTGCTTAATTTCTACTGGAAGCCTTATACAGTCCTCCTCAAAACAGTGAATGCTTACCAAGACTCAGGAAATGCAAGCTGTCTGTTTTTGCGACTACATGCTCAAGGTGGCATAAGGACAGAACACAAGTGAAGGAAGAGCCTTGATACAGACTGTTCACTGGCATAACTCTAGGGAAGACCATCCTGGTCACAAACAGCTTGGCCTTTAACTCCAAATGGTAAATCCAAGTTAATAATTCCACTCCCTGCTTTTTACGTCTGTGTATTCTGGGTGCTTGTGAAAAGCAGCTTGAAACTTCTTTCTTTCTTTTCCCACCTTTTCCTTTCCTTGCCCTCTTTCCCCCACCTCCTCAAGTATCTCTCTACCTCTGAAATAGTTTGTCTTAGTTTTACCAGAGGTAAGGATGCTCCCTTACAGAAAAGAGAGAACAGAAAAACTCAAGGAAGCTGCTTTTTCTATCAGTTGAGGCACTGCAGGTTTCCAGATCTACTTAGCTGCCAAGGCTAGAAATAAGTTGTTTTCTTGTGAAAAACAAAGAAAGCTGCATATTCCAGTGTTCAGGGACTTGTATGTTGTCCTGGTCAGTCACAGACTGTCAAAAGATCCTAAAACTTGTCATTTTTCTGATCCATACTTAAGGGACTGTCTTTGGATGGCAAATTCCAGCCATATTAGGCCTGATTCCAGATGTCCTCAGGAAGTTTGGATGTTAAAAACACTTAGTAACAAAGGTAGATTTTTTTTTCAACCAAGAGTAGGTTTAGTGGTCAATCCAATTTATTCCATGTTTTCTGCAGCCGAGGTGGCTGAAGTTACTAATATGTTCAGTATTATCGTAAGCAAAATAAAGTTATGTTCAGGCAACATCAAAACTGCACAGGTAATGAACAATCCAAGGCAGAAGTTCTGGTTCCATGCTCAAGCGAAGGATGCCCAAACATGCAGTTAATGATAGTCTGGTACCGCCAATTATTTACCGAACAATCCAACAGCACAGGCAGATTTCTTCAACCTGGACTGAACACTTCCATAAATGTTGATCTCTTTTATTAACTGGGCCCATTTCCTGTCCCACGTTTGATTTGCCTGGTCCACTCTGAAACCCTCTTCTAGGAATGCAATTCAACCCTGTGCAGAGGGACCAACAAAGTCTCTGCTCCACTGAGGGCTACAAGTGAGGCCTTGTATGTACATGGGACTCATGGCTGCTTTTCACCCGAGCTCTCTCCTCTTAGAGGTAGCAAACATATATGTATAGCCAAGGTCACCCTCCCCCACAATTCCACAGTAATTTGGTGGGTTCTTGGCTCACTTCCTTTTAAGGATTCCCCCCCTTGCACAAAGAATTCTGATCTTGCCATTGGGCTCACTGTAGGTCTAGCTCTGTAGCTCCCTGGAAGGCATGCACATCCTGGCCAAAACCCCTTCACAGTGTTAGTAAAACTAATTTCCACCGACCCTGGTTATGGACGTCGTTCTTACTATCGATCTCCGCTGCTTCTTTGGCTTCCCCAGCTCATATTCATCATCGTCCAAATCCTGAACAGGAAAAGAAAGTCTGGTCTTTACACCTGCCTCAGGAAAACACAAGAGCTGTTTCGCACAATGCTTCCTTTATGCAGCATTTTATGCATCAGGGAGTTTAACAGTATGTGGCCATATACAGCAGGGGTGGGGAGAGTACAGATCAGACCGCGTACTTGTAGGTCTTGTCAGTAGGGATTGGAAGGGCTGTAGAGGGAACATACATAACCTTGGGTTCAGAACAGAGGGAACAAGCCAGAGACTGGGGTTGTGTTCATTCAGGAATGAGAAAGAGCTAAGTCAGAACATTCAGCCCTAGGGATGCAATATGTTACTCACCAGCCAGAGCTCAAACAGCTGGTACATGTCACTATGCTATATGCTAGTGCTTCCCCAAAACTACTCTCTTTCTTTATATTCTCAACGTTCACTTGAGACAGACTCTGACTGCTATAATGGCAAAGAATGTCTCTAAAATAGGGAACTGGGTTTGCATGGAGCTAAGAACAGCAGCCCTGGGTGGTATAAATTCACCCCATTCATCCTAGTGATGAGAGTACGGACAGATTCATTTATACTGATTTGGAATAATAATGATATAAGCGGTTAGGATGCAACTGTTTGTACTCCTATAAGGTTCCTTCAATCCTTTCTTTTTAATACATTTACTATTTTAACCATATGTTTTGAAGTTGATCAGCATTAATTACTAAGAGAAAGAAAATTTGTATAAGTTCTCTGTATTGGATACCAGTCAGGTGTTTAAAAAAAAAAAAAAAAAAAAAAAAAAGGTTGAACTCATAAGAGCTTCCAACAAACCACAATATGAAAAACACAGTATTGCATGTTTTGGCTTTAGCCTTGTCATTGCAGATAGCTTGTCCTTCAGAGCCAAATGCTGGGTGTTACTTTTGGATCATTTAGGTATACAGTTTAAAGTTAAGCACGGCCTCTCTATCATTGTTGAATTGAAGCCCTTCTTAAAAAAAAAAAAAAAAAAAAAAAGGAATTCATTGCACAGCAGCTCCTCATATAGTACCTGTCCCTGGACAGCATCATCGCTAGCTTCTTGCTCAGAGGAGAAGCTCTCATACTCTTCTTCAGAATAGTTATCTGTAAGGGAAGAGCAGAAAGCCTTGTGAAATCCCCTTTAGAAAGAATGGAGCAGGAGGGCTTTAGTTCTCTGGAGTACAGAGGACAAATGTTAAGTCACACTGGTTAGCATCCTTGAAGTTAAAGAGCAGAGGTGTCTCAGGAGACGACTACTTTGCTACACTATACAGAAGAGGCCAGAACTTCCAAGAGATTGGAGAAATAATAAATGTTCTAAGGCAGTAGTATCAAACTTGCCTGAGGCACCAGGCCAGAATCAGACCACAGGGCTCCTTACAGCCAGAGCCAGCCCAGGGTGTGAGGGTTGCTGCAATGACCACTCTGGCAGCAAGGTATCTGGTGGCAGCAGCGAGTCCAGGGGCATAGCTATTGCCACTGATGGTCATGCCCAGCAAAGCCAAAGGGCCCTGATTCTGCTGCAGGCCGCACCCTGCAACTTCTGTTGGCCTGCCGGTAGCCCAGGGGGCCCGACAGAGGTTTTGCAGGCTGGATCCCACTTGTGGCCATATGTTTGACACCCCTACTCTAAGGTGACGGACAGTGCCTATAAAAGTAAAAAAAAAACACTCATGAAGGTGAAGCTGCTAGAGATAACAGGTGGAAACAGATGTCATCTTTATGCTGCCATAAGAATTCTTAGTGGCACAAAGGCCAAGCAAACAGATGTCTCTGTGCCTTGTCACACCTCAAATGCCCAAAATTTGTGGGGTGGGAAGGTGGTAACAGTTTCTGCTGCTTTACTGAAGAAGGTGTTTATTTGGTTTATGGAGTGAGAATGTAAACATAATGCTCTCCAGGTGCTCTGGGCAGATGCTCCCAAGCCTTAAGGGGCCCAATCCTGTGTGCTCCAGGAATTCCCACATAGTATGGGACCACGCAACCCCTAGAAGCACCCCCCAGCTTTCCCCTCTTACAGAGATGCATCCTGGGGATTCTCCAGGGTGCATCTCTGCAAGCAGGAAGCCCTGGCTTTCCACACTTACACCTCTCATCTAGAGGTCAGAACGAAAACATTATCCTGTCACTCAGTAGATGTCATGTGAAAGGAAGACTCATGTGTATGAAAACTAAGATCTCCTGCACTCACTGAACATCCAGGGTGTATGCTCACAAAGCTAGTTCATAGCCAATAATAACAAAAAGCAGAACATTATCTTATGTAAAATCTATAAAGGCTGTCCTATATCAATTACTGCAGAATCTTACTATAAGCCTATTTACAAAGAGTAGCTTATTTTGTGCAGGACTAACTAAAAGTTATGCAAGTGAGCAATGACAGATGCCAGAGACTACAGATCATGCCATGAAATCTGTACAAATGAGAAAGTACTTGTCCCCCATCCTCCTCCCTACCTTATTTTAAAAAAGGAACTCATAAGTGGCCAATGAAAAGCAGAAATGCATCTTTGTCCATTTACCTTAAATGGAGAATTTCCAGTGTACCTGCCCAAGATAATTTACCCATAACAGCGACATGGACACTAAAGAGTGCCATCATTCCCTGGTAGATCTCTATTCCCTTAAATTCTCACACATCCCCAAAACTTTGCAAAGAAGAGTCAGCACATGGTCAACCATTGTATTTGTGTACTGGTTCTTAACTGATGGGTGCACTTCCTGTTTGTACTTTGTTTCTGCAGAAAATTCCTTTATATTTTTATCAGGGGCTGGACCCGATGATCTTGCGAGGTCCTTTTCAACCCCTAACAATCTATGAATCATGTACAGCAAGCCTGCTATTGGCTTGTGGTAATATATGTTCCAAACAACATTATTAAAGAGGTGAACAGGAGTCAATAGATACGACTTAGACATTGTAGCAAGCTCAGAGTGCAATGCCTCTATCATAGATGGTACCACCAGCAGACTCGCCACAATGGGATTTCTACAATTACTTCATGATGGGAAAATGTGTATAGTGCAACAAACCAGGGAATCCAAGACCAAGGGCCTGGTCCTGTAACCCTATACTCACATTCCTGCCTCAGAATTCTCTCACCGGGTATAAATTTTAGCTATAGGACTAGCAAAAACTGGTATTGACTTGTCCAAGGAACTCATTCACTCCAGCTGGAATTTCACTCAAGTTCACATGAAAAATAACTTTCAGGGTACAGAACTATGCAAGTTACCCCCAGTTACAAAAGCCTACCAAAGCCTGTTATCCATGTGTTCAAAATTTACATGCTTGCCTTGGGGAAAGAGATCTACTCTCGTGCCACATAAGAACAGACTCAGACCAGAGGTGACCAAGGTCTCAAAAGCCTGGATAGGTGAGGATTTGCACTCTTTGTGAATATGGAAGAGCAGAAAAAGCTGACTCTCCCAAGGTGCTCGACTTGGGCTCTCTTTTCTCTGGCCATCTGCTCTGTTAAACCTTCTCCAGGCTATACCACCATTTAAAAGAAGACTGGTCACGTTTTGTTCCTCTTTCCTTGTTGTCCTTGAAGTCTGTATTTTGGTTAGCACAAAAATACAAGAAGTTGCCCATTATTGTTTCTGCTGTGCTCACAGATCACACACAGAAGCTGGGATTCACTATAGCCAGTGCTTTACAAACAAAACCCAGCAGTCCTCATCCCAAAGACCAAAAGAGTGAAGGGCATTTAACATGACAGCAAAGGGAACAAGGTGTTGTTGGCAGGAGCATGGCAGGTCTGATCCAAGTCTTCCCTCTCATTTATATTACAAAAATACAGTTTTCCTAGGGGTCCTTCAGGGAAGGACTAAGGTAGAAGTTGGAACTGTTAGAAGGAAAAAATGGTGTAGAAGGTGGAAAGGGGCTGAATTCCAGTAGGAAGGCATACCCTCCTTACCTGTGGACTTGATTTTTTGGCTGGCCTGCATAGCGCTGTCTTCATGGTCTATGGGCTGACTGGACAGTGAGAAAATCCATATCTCTGCTACTTTGGCTGTAGCTTCCTTGATGTTACTGAAAAGGCTCAGAACCTGACCTCCTTCAGTAGGGTGCTGCATAACCTAGAAGGAATGTACACACACTTGGATTAAAATCCAGCATAAAAACTAATGGAAAAAAAGATGGAAAAAAATTCAAGTTTACTTTAAAAACAGAGCTGTTCTGGATTTACAAGTATGCAAGAAGACTCAAATACTGTGTTTCAAAGGACCATTGACAGAAACTCTCAGCACAGTCAAATTTAATTTGGCTATGACCTCAAGGAATGGCAGGGAAAGGAAAATTTGTTGAGGTGTGTTGGACCCCTGATAAATGTATTCTCCAATACCAAGCTTCAGTACATCACCCCTACTGTATTAGGTATTAGGTTTTGGCAATCGAGTTCTCAACATGGAAATTCCCAATTAAGACGGTATCAACATAAAATGAGCCAATTCCAGCAACCGCCAGCAGCAAACTGCTCCTGGTCAAGTTATTTATTAACTTCACCAGGTGCTTTCCAAAAATGATACTCCTTGTCTTGACAGTTTAAACTCTGCAAGTAACTATGAGAAAAAACTAACTAACAAGCATGCATGTAATAGCAGGTGCTAATGAGGATAAGTAACGAGACCACAATATAAGCACAAGGCCATCTTGATGGTCCTGCTAATTGGAATGCTCTTCCCCATACTCATCCTCCTTTCATCATTTCCTTCAGCATAGTTAGATCACACCTCCCTCAGACTTCTCACCCTGTTCTTCAAGTTTTCATTCTAGGCCTCCAAAACTTCCTTATGCGCCTCCCTGGCTTGTCCCTTATCACCAGGAATCCAGGTTTTCTGTTTCCCATGGAAATATGAAGTAAACAGAGGATTTTACCTTTTGATGGAGGCAAACGCGGATTTCTTGTTTTACCAGAGAAACCCGCGGATTTTCCAGTTTTGCAATGAGCACCCTGCAGGCTGGCAGAGTTCCAGCCTGCAGGGACCTGGGAGGGAGCAGGAAGAGGGCAGTGAGTCAAGGGGAGCCATGTGCATCTACATGCACATAGCCCCAGGCAGCCCGAGAGCATCTCCTGCAGGTAAATAGCGGGGAGAAGCGCAGGATTGAGGGTCCTAGAGGGAGGGAGCTAGCTGGGCAGCGCTAGGACTGATGCCCTCCCCCAGGACCTCTGCAGCCTGGCGGACATGACCCAGCACAGCAGGGCACTGCAGGGCCGTGCAGAGAAGCTGCTCACCGCTGGGAGTTCCCCCCTGCCCTGGCAACGCGCCTCCTGCACGCAGGGCTTCAGTGAGGGCAGCAGCACAGGGTTGCACCCCTCAAGCCAGGAGGCACATTGCTAGGGCAGCATGGAGTTCACAGTGGCAAACAGCTTCTCCACATGGCCCTGCTCTGCCCTACCACACTGGGTTGTGCCTGCCAGGCTGTAGAGGCCCTGGGGGAGGGCAGCAGGGCAGGACCCAACACCTGCCTGCTCTGTGCACAGATCTGGGGGGCACAGATCCCCTCTGCCCCCCTTGGGAGTGTGCACTGCAGCAGGGAGCTGCCCCTCCCCCCACGCAGCAGGGGGGAGTGGGGGCAAGGGGTGTGGACCCGGGTCTGTAGCCTTGGCAGCTGGGGGCCCCCTCCAGCAGGCAGGGGGAGCAGGGCTGTAGGTGGGGGGCAAGGGGCACCAGCAAGGCTGGGGTTTTTTTGTTGTTTTTTTTCCGTGTTTTTGAATACAGTCTGTTAAGTGTTCCAGTTAAGGGAGAGAAGAAAAATTTGGTCGAAACATTAGCAAGAATGTTATAGATATTTAATATTTACATTCCATCCTCTACTGGATGTTACAAAAATGAAGGGAGAAAACCTATTACATTTCAACAGAGAATGCTTATTGTTAAGATATTTGCTGACTAACCTGGTTGAGTGCTGCTCATTTTTTCCTGTAGTGGCATTTAATTTTCAGTTCTTAACAATGAACTGAATGTATTGCAGGACAAGCAGTCAGCTAAAAATGTTAGAATTCAGAATGCATTCTAGTTCAAAAACAGAAGCATCACAGGTTTGTCTGCAAGCTTAATTCTCAGAAAATAAAAGGCAGTTGCAGATTTAACTAATAAAAAATCCTTTGTTTTGAAGTCACAACAGCCTAGCATGAAAGTAGTGTTACAGAACTCATCCTAATAAGAGTTCTCTACTGGAATGATGTCTGTTGGAAGATGTCCATACTAAGGGAAGCGCAGCAGCCTTCCATTAGGCCACACTTCTACAAGGCTATCTGCACTTAGAAGTACACAGATGCAGAGATTAATTAGGATTTAAGAGTTAGCTGAAGCTCAACAGATATGCTATAAGTCTACCCCAACTACTGATGGAAAGTTAAGAGCCAGATAACTGTGGTCATTTATTTTCAATGACTATTCAAGCCATATTAAAATAAAAACACCATGAAAAAAATTAACTAAAGGTCTTATGTTTGCACATATGCACAATGGTCCCTAATAGGATTTTCACATCTTTGGCTAGAATAGAGGGGCAGAATTAGGAATGCACAGGCCACCTAGCACCTCCTCCCTTTGGAAAGCTTGATTTGGTGGGCTGGATGTTTTAATCTTACTCCACACAAACAGAAAACTAGGACTGCTATTTATATCAAAGAACCATCCAAAAAGAGAAACAGGTCCATTCAGCTGAATCAAGTATACTGCAGTTTTTGCTGCTCGTGTTTGTCCATCACCGCCCCTCACAATTGTAAGTTATTCAATTCTTCAGCTAAAATGTGCTTTGAATGTAAGGCAAACAATTCTGTATCTGGATAAACTAATTGGTGCTGATCTGCAGTCTTAAAGGTTATAAGGTAATAAACTAATGTTATAGGACTGTGGTTATCAAAATAAATTTAAGAGAATAGATAGTATTTAGTGCTGTATATCACTGCCCTTAACACTTTGAACTCCAACAATAATACACTTGGAGAAAAATGAAACTCCTAAAGATGACCGGTAACCTTAGGAGTGACAAGGATATTTTGGGGTGACATCTTTTTATTGGACTAACTGCATAAGGATGAACACTTGAGTTGTGTCTGGTACGTACCTCAGCCATATTAATGGAGCCCACTGCTAAAGTCTTGTAGCCTAGGATGGTTCGGTTTTTGTATCGCTTCCTCCTTTGCAGCATGATCTGAAGCTTGTTGCCCTCTCGTTTCAAGAAGTGAGGATACTGCAGTGAGAACACGGTATGAAAGATATTTATTACTGCTTCTTGACACTTGATCCGAGCTACTTAAGTTTTTTGCTAGTAACAGATTCATGTTAGAGATTAACTACTTCTCTAAACACTAGTGTTTTTAAAGATGTTTATAGTTAAATCAAACTTTGGTTCTAACAATAGAAGTGGCTGCTAGTCCCCTGTGCACCCTTCCCTTCCTACTGAGAATCTACCCCTGGGTTTCTTCCCTGATACTCAAACATTCTCCTTCCTTTTGCCATCCAGTCTGTTTTCACAATGCTGAGAAAGAGAATGTGCAATAACCATTAAATCTACAGACACAGCTTTCTAAGTATGTTTTTACAAGGGTTTTGTTTTCCCACATCCTTCCTGGGTGAGGCCTACTAGCAAAATGCAAAGATCTGAATGGTTACTACAACGATTCCCTCAAGAATTGCCCTGGGTGCCTCTCCAATGCAAACATGCTTGGAAGAAACTGGTTTGCTCTGAGCAGGTATGACTGCAAAGTTCCTGCAGGATTAAAAAAAATAAATAAATAAAAAAATCAACACTGAGCTTCCTAAACTTGGGTTTTGTTTTCAGAAACCAGTGGGGACCCTGAAGTCCCTGCTGCAACATCCTGACCTTTACTTTGGGCTAAGTACAGCCCATGGAAGATTCCTGCAGTAACTTTTTGAAAGGCCGACTACACAGGAGCCAGGATAGCCCGAGAAGGTCCTAAACTCCCCATGGCTCACTGGTTGGCCAGGCAGTGCCATGCTCTCCAGCCAAAGGAGGCTTTCCATTTTCTAAAATCAGTACTCTGCCAATGACCAAATAAACTGTTTTAAAATAGTCTGTTCACATGAAAATCACTTCCTTATAAAGATTGCACAAAGAGGATAGTAAGGGAACATCAACTTGCAAAGTCAAGCCCTCAGAATTGGAATCAGTCTTCCCAATGCAATCCCAAATTGGCTCCCTTATGTGTATAATAGAGACTAATGACATGATGGGGTACTGTTTTCTCCACAGGAGGCTGCCTCAATGTGCCAGATAACATAAAAGAAATCAATCCTGTGTGGTGAAGAAGCCTGACTATAGGACCCAGATTCATGGGCTGCTGGAAGGTATGCAGTGAATGGAGCAGTGAATTGTGGGAAGAGAAAGGATAGCATCATGAGTAAGACAGCTGAAGGGTACTGAGAGGTACTGGATTCTTATCATGCCTCTGCCCGAGACTTCTCATGTGGTTCTGGACAAGTCACTTAAACCAGGTTTTACGGGTGGCCACTAGCTGTGTTTTTCCTTATGTTCAGGGCATGTGACTTGACTCCTGGGTGTGTGGTTTTCTGAACTGTTGGGCACTTGCAGCTGCCACTAAAGTCAAATGGGAGCTGGGCTGCGAAAACATGAAATATTCTGGAGTGCTAAGCACCCTGGGAGAGAGAGTCAGGTTCTATGCATCTCAAATTGCATACCCAGAATTAGCGGATGCTTCTGGCCTTGATCCCCATGCCTCAGTTCCTATCTATGCTACACTTGAAACCCCTTCATTCCATGCCGTGTTGTGAAAGCAAGCACACAGCACTTGACTATTTCCCCAGCATTAGCAATAACCATCAAAAAGCTTAAGAGGATACTAATTCTAACTTCAGAGCAGAGCTTGAATAGGATGCAGAATGTCACACACTAAATAAGGAGAATACTGAATAGCTGCTCATTCAGTGAACATGGTCCGTTTCATGACCTGTATGAGGCAAGGGGGCTCAGAGAAGAAATAGTATAAGGACATAACCAAAGAGACTATCATAATACAAATGCACAGGGAGGCTGAGTTTGTTGCAGAGATAGTTCTGACTTTTCTTGATCCGAGTACTGGACCTCACAATCTTGATTCATTTTGGTTTAGTATTTTATATGTGGGAATCTGAGGTTTATTTAAACAAAAAGGAAAGGAAAACCTACTGCAGTATGTGGTATCACTACCCCACCCTCTTTCCTAGCTTTCTGCTCATCAGCAACATTGGATCTTTTGCATCCACTACACAGATCCTACCACTTGAGCTAGCAGAATAACCGATCAACAAATTCAAGGCACTCCTCCATGACTTTTGTAAATTGAGCAACACCCCATTTAAAAACAAAACACATCAAAACATATTTATTATAATGCTTACCTACCTTGCAGAGGGGCCAGGTTGTAGGGGCTGGCGAACAGCCAGGAAGGGACTGAGCCTGAGTCTGTGCTTTTTTGCTTATCTGCTCACCTTGATGCAACCTTCAAAGGATTTCACAGCACCCCTGGGTGCCTAGCACCCTGGCTGAGAATCACTGCCATACATCAGAGGTGCTCTTAGTCAGAAGCTTCATGTTGGCTAACACTCCTGAGCCTACAAATTTATCTCAACTATCTTGGTCATTAGCTTCCAAATTGCTTGGGCAAGGCCATGGTTAGGAGCTTGATGCATCTTCAAGCTATCATCCAATTAAGAGACAGTGTCATTAAAACCGTACTGGGCCATTCCAGAAAGGCTTCCCATGCATCACTGTGTAAGAACACAAATCCTCCCTGTAATCAGAGAAAACTTGGCCTCGTCTCAGCAACAGGTTCTCAATGTATTACACTTGCTAGCTTCTCCAATTCCATTTCCTTAAAGTTTACAGTGTCAAGGGCAGTTCTGTCACCTTGGCTCAGGCTGCATTCCCAGTCACTCCAATGGGAGTGGACCCTGATGGGTTGTAGAACAGAGATGTCCATGCACAGCCTGGCCTGTACTCTGAGGGGCTATATTACAAAACATCCACAAGATGATCTGGGGGTACCTGTTGCAAGAAAGCTCAGGTCCAAAGAAGAAGACAGTTGTGAGTACTCTTATTGCAAGTTATGGTCATGTTAAATGCAGTTCTGTTCCAAGGGCATGGATTAATGCAGAATGAAGGGAAACTGAACCCTAATTCCTACCACCAGGAAACTGAAAGTCCCAGAAAACCACATGCCTGTCCAGATCCATCAAGAATATTTATTGTTGGTGTCACGTGGTAGGAGAGAGAGAGTCTGGCTTCACCCCCAGTCACAGCCTTTCCTCAGGAGATCTTGGCTTACTGCCAAGACTTTAGTCCTCTACATCTACCCAATACATTTGGAAGAAAGGAACTCTTGCTAACAGAGTTGCTACTTCCAATCACATTGCAATGAAAGCTTATTTAGAAGCTAGACTAAGTCTCTAACCCACCTTATGTGGCTGGGTTCAGGACAGGGAAAAATCTAGAATCTCCATTTATTTCCTTATCCCAGTTTGACTGGAAAGCCATCAAGTTTCTCTCATGCAACTACTTATAGTACCACTATCATTGTCATCCATCCAATAGTCCATACTTGAAACTTTTAACTGATTTTGGAATAAATATGGGCCATATTTGATTTCCGGGCCCCACTGGATTAAGACCTCTTTCTTTACCATGTGAAACAATTCACAGACTTCCAAAACGTTCACGTGTCCCCTAAATGTGAATACCCCAGATGCCTGCAACACAGGAGTCTCATTAAGCAGAGCAAGTGCAGAGGTCCCCTGCACTGGGATTGCTGTGGCTCTCCCTGGGAAGGTTCTGCACATGCTGCTATTAGAACAAGGGCCTAGGAATCTCTCTACCCCAGGAAGCCAGGATTTGTTCAGTCTTGGCAAAAACACAGGAGCTAATATTGATTTGCCATAGCCATGTGCATCTACAAGTGCTGAATCAGGATCCTATTTTAGTACTTCTAATAAGGCAATGCATCTTGCCAAACAGCATGGTGGCCAAGCTAATGTTTCCCCATTAATGGGAAAGACAGGAGCTTCATTTTTGTAAGCAAACACACTTAATTTGTGGGTTGTGGTAAAAGCTGCCAAGAGATGCTGAAATAAATCACAGGATCCCACTTACATGTGCCTACTACAATTCTTATTTTCCTGAACATCCAAGACCATTCAGAAGCTACTTCTGTTCTTGACTGCACAAGCATAAAAATTCTTCTCAGCTACCTCTCCTTTTATTCAGTATGGAGACTAATATCTGTGCAAGTTAGGAGACTTGGTTCCTGGTTAGGGCTATATGCACCACAGTCAGTGGAAGAGCTGAAATGGACTTCATGGTCTCCTGCTGGCTCCTAGCCAAGAGGCTTCACTTCCACACAAGATGTTCCTGGTCACCAAGGAACACTTCTTACTGCCAAGGGTGCCTCAGCAGTAGGTAAGGTACAGACAAGATCCCTCATACCTAGTAGAAGATGAGACTAAATAAGCGTGGAAAAGCACGTGGGAATGAGGCCACTATGGTCAAACTAGAAGGGCGTTCTTGGTGAAGGTTTTGCCAATATGCCTCTTTCTTCTGTGCTCTTTGTTCCCCACCACTTCTAGCCTTGTTCTGCCATCAACCCCCTTTCAGTTCATTCAGGTTAAGTGGTTTCCTCCTTTTTCCTTCTGCATTACCTGAATGCCAGCAAGGAGAGCAGAAAGAAAAGCACGGAAACACCTTCTGGCATTGTCCTAGTTCCTAGACCAAACTCTCTCCCTAATCAGCAACCAGGAGAAGCAATGACAAGAAAAGTCCTTTAAGTCCTGTATAAACTGCAATGCCCAAAGCATGACAACATGCAGGATTGCTAGAGGGACTAATACTGCTGAGTCGAAAGACTGCTCTGGGCACTTTCAGGATGGACCACACTTGCTGAAGAAGAAACGGTCTGAGTCTTTAACTGCTAGCCTTTCAACAAGTTCTACTGGACATACACATGCTGTTTTTCAAAAGCTTATAAATTTGCCTGCGTCTCTGTAGATTTCCATCAAAATGGCAAAAAAAAAGCACTGCTCCAACCCTGTGGCTACTCCATCAACTTTCATAGCTTTGCTCTAAAACATGGAGGTGCCAGTGTTTCAAAAACAACTATTTTGCCAACCTAGCACTTGGAAGTTGCTGGATCATTTATAATATGAAACTTCCCCAAAACATTCAAGCTAAGGCAGAATTCCAGCACAGAACATTTCAGTCCAAATGGCTGAGACAGCAGCTATAATGAAAAGCATTAGGGTAACCATTAGGGTGTCTGCTAGAACAACTTATAGCCATTTCAGAAGAGGATTTAGATTGTTCACAGAGACTTTAAAGGCAACAAAGCTTTCTAAAATGAGTGCAACTGCCGTGAGGTTTAAATCTCCATTACCTGTAGTGAAAAAGTTAGTGCAAGTTCCGTTTCCACGTGTCCACTCGGGGGCAGCACAATTTCATGAGACCGAAGTATTCGTTTAGAACCCTACATAGAAAGAGAAAATCCATCAGATGAAATTCTGGGCATCAGTTTGATCCTGCTCCCTTCACCTTTTCAGGACTCTAGTGTCCAATGCTTTGTAACTTAGGACATAGTGAATCGTCAAAGTTGGGAGAGACCACAAAAGGGAGATCCTCCCCCAACCCTGCCATTCCCAATGAAAATTTGTTCTTGGCAGGCAGTAGTTCTCCAAACAGAACATGGGCAGAGAGTTCACAGGAGCTCTATGCTGAGCTGCAAACAGCTTGCTGGAGTGGAGCCGACCCTCTGTGCATGGATGTATGCCTATTCAAACACTCATAATAGGAGGCAGGAATAGAGGAGCAGAGTGCAGAGGATGTCAGCTTGATCTTCTGCTGAGCCTTCAGAAGTGGTTTTGCCCAGAGGGGCCATTGTCCAGAAGCAAAGTGTTACAGCAGGGTGTCTCTTCACTTAAGAGAAGAGCCTGATATTGTTGTTTGGAGACCCAAGAAACAAATGCCCATTGGTTCTGTCCAAAGAAATCTATCTTATCTAGTTTAACATCAAGAAATCATACAGCTTTAGGCAAGGTAGACATGCATATAGACTGCTTTAATTTCCCTTTTCTATACACTTTGGTTTGAGTAGACAGTTCTGTCACTATGTACTCCTGGGCAGTCTCCAGGAAAGGAAATTCTACAAGGCCCTAAATACGTCATATCTCTTGGGTAAGAACATTTGATACCAGACACAGTAGCTCAGGGAAAACTCTAAAAGTGGGACAATGGCAGCAAATGGCAACTCTGGGAGAGTGCAACTCAGCAGACACAGACACCAGGTAAGGGGCAGAGATGCAGTTATCCCAGCAACTATGACAAACTCTCAAGACTGACTTTGGCCAGTCAATGCCTTAACAGTGACAAGGCTGTTTTAATGACGCTTCAACACAATGGGTGCCTGTAGACACGCTAGGAGGTTGCTCCAACGTGCTGTAATTACAGCACATCAGAGCAAACTCGATTAGTCAAGTCCGCTGGAATGTGCTAATTAGCATGCTGCAGCCAGTCTCCGCATCTCGTGTATCAGTATCCCCATGCTTCAAAATAGCGGGACGGGTACTTTAACTAAAGCTCATCGAATGACCTTTAGTTAAAGCTTCCCTGCCACCATTTTGAAGCACAGGGACGCTGACACACAAGACGCTGCATCACTTAAATTAGAGTGGTTCTTGGAGCCGCGCTAATTAAAGCATGCCCAACCCCCACCCCCACCCCGCCCCAGGCATGTGTAAAAATGTGCAGTGGCTCTGTAATGAAGGACCAACAGATGCACTCACAAAAGGCAAAGCTCCCTCAGACCCTTTGGAAGGGCCTATGATATATTTAACACCTTATCTCTAATATAAAAAGCTGGGCAAGCCATTTGACTGAGAGTAAATGCATCCAGCAATGCAATTTGACCAACCTCAAAAAACAACTGAGAGAAACTTGAGCTCATGCATATCAAGTGACCCGTCCAAAAGCCTTGTCAGCACCATATTAATATCCCAAGGTACAAGGGGGCTTTTAATAGGGAAGGATTGAAATGTACTTAAACTATTGATGGAGGAACTGCCCAGATACTGCCCCACCTTTAGCCTATTACATGGCATAATGAACCTGGGTGGGGAAATCAGGTAACAGTACAAGGAATACACAAAGTCAGCTTGTGAGCTATAGCTCTAGGCCTCTACAGGTGACCTTGTGACATTAGGAGATATGCAAGGTCAAAGTCAAGAGAAGATTGGGAAAGGATTGTCCAATGGCTAAGACTTAGGAGACCACTTCTCCATCACAAGTTTCCTTTGTGACCCTAAGCAAATTACACTAATTTGCCTTCAGCCCTTGCTTCTACTGGTTACAATGGTGATATTAGCACTTTCTTAACAAGATTAATTAATTAGAAATAGGGAGGTAATCAAGCCTCAGCAATTTGGGGGGGGGAAGGGACGAAGGTGGTCATAACCAGAACAAGACTGACGTAAAACCATCTTCGTTGCAGTAATCCAGTTTCACATACTTAAATTTCCCTGGGACCTGTGCCCTTCCAACCTAAAATGTGGTATACACATAAGGGTGTATACATAGTGTTTCTAAGTGGCAATAATCTGAGAGAGTAAACAGTATAAAGAACCAAATCTTAGCGAGGCTAGGAAACTCAAATGGTCTGACCACGCATATCATATTTGCACATCTTCTGGAGTTCCTTTATATGGCCCTGGAAGCCGTCTCCACAAGCCACAACTCCCTCCCTGTGTGAAAAGGCTCAGTAATCCCTTGGCTCCAAGGGCTAAGACGAGCACAAAGCATTTTGCCCCTGTACTCCGGAGAGACCTAATACAGACTTCAAGACTTCTTCCATCTAGTGTTACAGGGGTGTAGGTTGTAGCCGTGTTGGTCTAAGGGCATAGGCAGACAAGGTTCTTTGGGTGAATCTGATATCTTTTATTAGACCAACTTAAAGAGTTGGAAAAAATTTTCTTAGGAAACTTTTGGGTTTAAAAACCCTTCGTCAGGCTGAGGAAGCATCTGCAGTTGGTGTGTACCATCCAGGAAGAGCACACACCAACTGCAGATGCTTCCTCAGCCTGAGTAAGGGTTTTTAAACCCAAAAGCTTGCTAAGAAATTTTTTTCCAACTATTTAAGTTGGTCTAATAAAAGATACCAGATTCACCCAAAGAACCTTGTCCACATAGCATTTGAACTCTCTATAGCTCCTCAACCACCAGATTCCATTAAGCTCTAGCAAGAGTGCACATGGGGAGATGGTAGCTGAGAAATACCCAAGAAGCAGCTTCCTATCCCTCCCTATGATGTTCTCAATTCCTTTTGCTATCCTTCACTGGAGGAGCAGTTAAGATTAGATGGATATTTTTATTTATAGTGGCTAATTTTATTTTCTCGATTGGTCTCTTTTTTCCTACAAAAGCCAC